ACACTGGCGGCCAATGCTCTGCCCAGAGAATGACCCCCTACCAATCATCAATGGATGCCCGCGGGGAAAGGTTTTTCTACAGAAAATCCTCAAGAGTGGGCACTCGGCGACCAACCTAGACAGAACTTGGCGCAACAGAGGTTCGCTATAACAGTGTGAATATTCTTCCCAGATATCTCTCCTTTTGATAAGAAAGGCCAAAAAGCAGGGGGATTGTTAGTACTTGTTTGCTCTCAGACCCGCGCCTGCGTGGACTCTGCAAAGCCCAGGCGTCCTTGGCGAGGCAAAACGAGCTTAGACAAATCATGGCGTAAACGGCTGTGGTAATCTTGACGTCGGACACAAAAACACCAGGCCGATAGGTGTGTGCCCCCAAGTGAGGAGGGTCGTTGTAACTTGGGGCATTGACCCCAAAAGCAAACCCTGCTCCTGAAAGCTGGATATCACTCTCATGTTGTTGGCCCGAGGAGTCCGATGACTTCTCATCTCGCTCTTGTGTGAAGTCTTATCTTGCCATGTTGGCCCCATTCTGAAGTGCATCATCTGGGTCCTTGGTGTATGTATGATATATATATATATATACTATATATACGACTCATTTCAGCGCCAGTCAGATTCTCAGGTTGGCATTAATTTGCTCACAAGCATATGACAAGGGTTCTGTCGTTTGTTTGGGGAGGCGAGTTTCTCAGGCTTGTGCATGAAACCTGAGCTGGGGTTCAGGGCTTGGAGTGTGAGCTGCTCCCATCATGGCTGTCCCAAATCGCAGGGCTCCTAAGTGTGACAGCACAAGGGACACCACCATCTGCCACAAGGATCAAGCACGGATTTTGAGCAACCCACATGTCGCCCAAGTTTGCAAAGGGGGGTCTCCTCAGGGCGGCAGCTTGATGCCCTGGGGTGGGGACGAAAGTTTGAGCCAAAACAAGCAACATTTACTTGTCAAGCACGTCTCACCCATTCCTGCAAAACAATATTAGATGAATTGGAATTGGGTTTTCTATTGTAGCAAGTGCTTCTCCTAATTCAGGATCCTGTGACTGTTTTGGGGTGCAACATACAAGAAACCATGCACAAATCTCTTGTCTTATGCCACGCCTGAGTACCAATGTACATGTCCATCCGTGGCCACCAGCACTTTGAGGGTCTGTCCAACGCGCACCCAAGGCACAAATGGGAATTGTTAAACTAGGGGACCGCATAATTCGTTGTCTGTGTTGGTTTCCCGTTGAATCCTAAGGGGTCCCCCAATTTTGTGAAGACCCCCAAGTATGTGTATGCTTGTCATTCGGAGGCCAACATGATGTGCTCCTTTGCACACATCATCAAGGCCATCATGATCAAGCGATCTCTACGCAACGGAACAGGCTTCGAAGCTTCACGACATGCTTCGAGGACTCAGAAATCGCCAAACACAAAACCAGCGTGTTTGCGCCGACGGCACCAAAAGCAGCAGGGTACCACCATGAACACAAGACAAACCAAATTTGCATAACCAGAACAAGAATGCAGAAGGGGCTTGGGGGGGTATGGCGAACCACGGTGGCCGCATAGCCCGCATAGAGGCAATCATGTCCATACAGCTTCTCACACACTCAGCAAGTTGCGGTCTGGGTTTCTCAAATTCGTCGGGCTGCACTCTTTTCTTCACCGGGTGTTAAATAAGAATGCTGGAATTTATAATTTCCTTGTGAGTTCCTTTTGGGAAAGCTAAAGCAAACATGCTCTTCAGCACCCAGTCACCACTTTTGCCAAAGATCTCTGGATCGCATGTAGCCTCTCGTGCCGTTCTGCAGCCGCCAGGTCAACGCTGGAAGGCGCTGCGGGCGATCGTTCGACTGGGGCCTTGGCCTGCACGAATCAAAGAGATGAACTCTGCATGAGGGATGTGGCTGTGGGTCAATCCAAATCGTACCCCCAGTGAACATCCCAATCCCCACTAAAATAGGTTCTAAAATGGGTGGTGCACCTACCCCAAAATGGTACCATTGGTTTTGACCCACAGCCATGTGAAAAACACGTGTGAGTACTTTCAGAGGTTGTCCAAACTTCTTGAGAGGGCAATTAGGGTCCACCTGCGACAACTTTGAAGCTGACAAGATGACTTCTGCTGCCAGGAGGATTTTCAGTCGGCACTGAATCTGTGGGATTGCCAGTGACGCAAGGCTTTTCTTGAGAGTACCCTTTCTGGGCTTTGCACAGACCATTTTCATGGCTCTGCCTACTTTGAACGAGGCTATCGCTTTGTCGCCAAACTCGGACCCTGGTTGCAAGGAAACTCGGCGGGTCCAAAGCCCACTTGGATAACCAAACACTGAATCCGAATAAGGAGCCCGGCCGATGCTCCCTCTTTGCCCACCAACCGCCAAGAGGCACCGCGACTATCGCAGCAAAAAAAAACATTGACTTGTCTCTAAATTTCTGGGATCCCCCCAAAACAAAACCGATGACAAGTGAACTTCAGGCTTCCCATAAAAGCAGCCCATTTCTCAGAAAAGGCACCCCCAAAACACAAAACCCCTTATCCCCATTGCCCAGCTTTGGAAAATGGGAGGCACTTGTTTGGGTTCACCATTCAAATTGGGGAAGCCGCCAAGCAAAAAGGGACAAAGAGTGCCACTAAATAGTTTGAATATATTGGGAGCCCCAAATGGGTTCCAACAAATGGGTTCCTTTCGGGTGCTTCGCACATGATTGTCCCTTGGCGCAAGCTGCAACCTGTTTATTAAAACAACCACGCAGCGCTCAAAACTACTTGACTTCTGGCTCAACGAACATGCTTACAAAGATTGAACATATTTTATAATAACCTCAAGTCAGCCCGACGAGAACCACCTACCACAAGGCCATACATAAGTGTTCATTCCTCAGGGAAATGGTACGTCCTCGCTTACGTGACACTCACAATTTGGTGAATGCATATTTACCAGATATTGGCATTGAACTCAGCGGCATCTGAGGCTGTCAATCCTTCAGGAATAGATCCAGGGCTCAATGTGCCATGGCATTGGCTATTCATGTTGCAAGAGCAAGCCAAGCTTGCAAATAGTTCTATGACTTGAGGGCGCAAATGAGAATGCAACCGGCCCTACGTATTTCACATCTGCAATGACAGCAAGTGGAAACTCGCGTAATCAAACTCATCGGCGTCAAATGGGGTAGACATGCGCGTGAAATTGGCCATTAAAGGCTTTGGGCTTTAGGCTGGCCGCGCCCGCCTCTCGCAGTGACGCAAGTCCGAGGCCTGAGGCGAAAAAGCTTCGCCCGGCGCTCCGTTCGCTTGGTATCAGACTGTTCCTGCCACTCTCCAAACCACCTCTAGTTTTGGTCTATCATGTATCCTCCAACGAGGTGTCTGTTGGTGGTGGTGTGTCTGGAGACAGGAGGGCTTGACAATTGAGCTACCCGGGCAACAACTCAACATCACATGCAAGCCTCTAAAACCGCTTGCAAAAACAATGAATCATCTAGATGGGGGCAAGATCAAGAGACGCCTTGCGCCGTCAAACCTTTTCAACCAAAGAACATGTTACAGGGCTCAGGGCCAAGCGGAACATGGCACGAAACTTTTGCAGGGGTGCGTTTATCAAGGCACACACGCACACACGCACATGCAGATTGTCTTGAATTTTGGACGTGCGAAACAGTGGGGTCAAGTCACGGGTGGTGGCCTGCAACGATGTTCCTCTTGATTCAGAGGCTGGCTTGATGCTATTTCGCCCAGGTAAGCACAAACATCGGACGTTGAAGTTTCCATATTGCTTGCAAGGGGGATTTTGGTTTATTTGCACGCCAGCTTTGTTTGCGAGCATCCACTCCAAAAAAGGTTTCGGCAATTGACTCTCATGATGAGTCTTTTTACTGCTCCAGGCTTTTCAAGTTGGAGCGCCAAACCTATTGAAACTACTACTTTTCCCAAAAGCGGCGCTGACAATAATATAATAATAATAATAATAATAAATAATAATAATAATAATAATAATAATAATAATAATAAAAACAGAGGATGGAGTTCACTACACCCAAAGTCAACCATGGGTATGTAGAAATGTCAATACGTAGACCAACCACCTGCCACACTTGAGCAGCCGGCGGATGGACTCCAGCCGCGCATGGCGCTCGCTCTCATCCATGGCCAAGAGACGAGAGATGCGACGGATAAGCAATGGTTTTTCATGAGGTGCATTCGAAAGCTATGGGCCAACTTAGGAAATCAACTAAGGTTATATCTTGGTTGTATTGGTTACTCACTGGCAGACCCCAATGGTTATATAAGTCAATAAGGCAGAACCTAATGGCTATATTTGTTACCCACTTGGGTGGTAGGCCTTCCATGATTTGCCTGCGATAACTGCCTTGTGCCTCGCAGAGACGAAGCAAAGTAGTCAGGACGGGCCCAGAATGTGTTTGCGAAAACCCGAAAGCCTGATGTGCCCGCAGGTGCTGCGTGTCTAATGTTGCGGACGTGAAGTGCCAAGCTTCCTTTGTCTCGGCCAGGCGCCATTAATCACTTCGATGTTATGCCTGCTCAAGTTTGAAAGTAAACACTGTTCTTCGTTTAAGGTCGCCTGAAATGTAACACTCGAAACATAGGTGACAGGTTCCACGCACCAGCTTAGGCGCAGGCTATTTGGACAAGCCCGTGTACTATGTTCGGCCCATAAACCACAAACACCTCGCCCTTCAGCCGGAGCCAAAACGCGAGCAGGTCTGATGGCCAAACCCGGGTTGCACATGATGGGGGCCAATGCTGAGCGACCCTACAAGGTACGCGCTCGAGGCTTAGCAAAATCTATTTCTCTCGCGCTCCCGGCTCTCATCCGAGCCCCAAAGGACGAGCCCATTGGTTAGGACCTCAGACCCGGCCATGCATCTTCTGGCAACTTGGCCGGCCCATCATTTCATGGGCATGGCAAGTCTGCCGCCCCAAAACGAAATTTCCATGCTGCACTTCTTCTGGGCTGCGCGCTGTTTTCTTGTTGCGGGACTCTTTACGTGAAGATTCGAAGTGCAGCGCGCTGACTTAATTCAAGGATTTCCTAAACCTACCGGTCCCTGGTGTCGCTGGTGGAAAGCCAGCTGCCTTCTGGACAAACGAGGCCTCATCCGACCTTCACCTGGCACAGCGGCACAAGAGCGAGACAAGTCTAGGAGTAACTTCCCCCTTCTGTCGGGAAACTCTCTCTCCGAAAACCTAAGACCCAGGGAAAATCTCTGCTTTCTGAAAGGCCGCGATGGTTGAAAATAACCACAACAAACGTGGTCCGCAAATATCTGGTTGGCAGCAACAGGGTCACAGAAAAGGACCCAGGTGATTTCAACAACCAACCAGCCAAATGCCACATTGCCCCAACAAAACTGACTGAAAGATGGTCAGGACATCATAGATTATATGCTTTCCCCTATTTCCCGTAATTAATAACCTTTCCATCCTAAACAGTGACGGTCTGGACGTGGGGTTGCCCGAAACAACTGGTGGAAACAGACGGGGCAACTTGCTTCAGTGGCCCTGACAGGGGGAATTCAAGGATTCAATGTGTATCTTGTTCAAGAAACCACATGCAAGCTCGCGAACATAATTGGATTATGTTCGCACGAACTCGAGACTGCCGAGGAGCCAAAAGTAGAACATTAGGATGGTATCGGGTAAAAACACTGGGAAAACATGTTTTTCACCAGAAACTTGTTATTCAGTGGATTGAAAACGTCACAAAACACTGCCGGTGCTCATTTGAAATGGACGGGGCTTGCGAAACACCGCAAACAACAATGAATATGCAAGTCTCCCGCAAGTTGGCAACGTGAGAGTCGGCTATTTTGTGGAATGTTTCATGAAGAACATCACGGTCAAAGCAGGCAGCCACAACAAAAACGCAGGCAGCGAAAGCAGCCGCGCGAGAACAGCAAGACCTGCCCAGAGCACTGAACCACAATCGGAAGCCAGAGAACGGGAAGGCAGGGGCCAAGGCCCGCAAAATCAAAAGGAAGCCGCCCGGAATCAGGACAGTGGACACGCACGAAGCCAGGATAGGGTTGTGTGACTGCGTCACCAAATTGAATAGGGAGTCCAAGTGATTATAAAATGCAAATTTGAAAGACAGGAGCAGGCACAGGATGAGCCGCGAACAAAGACAACACTCCTACCAAGCGACAACGGGCATCATCTGACTTGAGCATGAGACGCAATGCTGCAGGTCCAAGACGCAGTGCCATGTTCTGCGATCATCCCCTCCCCCCTCCCCACCCCACCCCCTCCCCCCGACATCTCCCAACAAACTCCCCCAAGCCATGATTGATGTCATCTTGTCGGGGAACCCCCCGGTCGGGAGGGACAATGACAGGACACGGCGTGATGACTCGCTGTCCCCCCTGGATTGCTCTTTCTTGGACAAACGACATACAAGGCTGCCACACAATAGCACACAGGTTGATCCTGGTAAGGAAGAAAACGTCCCGCACAATGCCAGTGTGGTAAGAGCAATGTTCGAACGTGAAGGATGGAGCCTGAAACCTATACTATGCCAAAAGCCAACTATGTCAGTCCCACACACACACAAGTAGACAAACGTAAGTACATAGAGCAGCTTCCCGCCCCTGTCGACTCGAAGGATCAAGGTTTCTTCAGACGCAGCAACCCTGCACCGATCGGTGCAGGCCGGTGCGAAAGAGTCAAAGTGAGCATGGTCGAGAGCAAGCAACAACTACTGAGGTCTCCAAACAAAGTCTGGAACAGTATTTGGGCAAGCGTCGTGTTGTTCTTCAATTGCTCCTGAACAAACAATGGCATGTGATTAAAGATTGCGAACATGGAAACACTTGCCTGCCCAAACATGGGGCTGACAAAACATGTTGGTCCTTGCGGAGATATGGTGTCTTTGACTGGCCTACTGGGCCTATGGGGCCTAAGGGCCCAATAGGCCCCTGAAGGGATGTGGAAGCTCAGACGAACAGCGAAGGGATCCCCATGCGTAAACCTATGTCGTGTTTCTTGGTGGGCCCCTGAGCCCCTGCCTGGTTTGAAGACAAACATCAGGGGAAGAGCACATTTTTGGGGTCCAATAGAGAACCATTAGACTTTAAGAGGTCGGTCAGGTCCGCATTTTGGCTGGGGCTCCCTTCGTTTGCCAAAAAGGCAAACGGCCAACCCCTTGGGCCTTCTCGTCGATGGTCGGAAAAATGGACCCGGAGCCCATGCGAGAACGCACTCGATCATAAGCCTCCTCAGCCACAACCCGGGCTTACAGCCAGTGGATGTGGGGTGATATTTCTGGCCGAGATTGATTATATTTCAACCGCAAACTTCTTCATCGGGTAGATCGCAACTTGAGCTAGCTTACCCTGATAAATCCCAGCGTTTTTTTGCACAGGTAACCAAAGCAACCACTTTTCAAACGCGAAATTAATCATCTTTGTCTACCCAGTGGTATCCGTGATGCACTAGGTATGAACAAAGGCCTTGTTAGACTTCATGTCCTGTGGACGAAGTGGCGAAAAAGAGGCGAGTTTGAGCGCTTCTCCAGAAAGTGCTATGGACAGCTCGATGAAAGGTTGGACAGCTCGATGAAAGGTTGAATAATACTTGCACATCGCAAACACGCACGCACACGATTTAGCCTGCAAAAGCGGATGGCATCACTTGGAAATCTGAGTCCTCGGTCACAAGACGCTGTACAGGCAGGAAACATGGGTTTCTTCCAACTGGGAACCCAACAGGGGCGTTTGTCCAAGCCTCAGCCCGGCTGCGAGTCTCCGATAAAGAGCTAAGCTTTTTGACCAGAAAGGGCCTGGAAATGAACGGACTGTGCGGGATGATGAGCTTTAACTTTTTTTTGGTGGAGCGTTGTGACACCTTGTTGACCTTTTTGCACTATCCTTAATACAACCAAATCAGGAGCCATTTGCAACCCTGAGTGAGGCCTGTCACACAAGGATGAGTCTTCCCCTTGGCAGTATTGTAGGAGAACAAAAACAGCAGCTGCGACTCTTTGCTTCATCTGGGAGTGTTCCAAAGAAGGAGGTGACCCCTGCATTTCATGATCCTACGTCCATCTGGAGTGCTGTCCAAACGATGGACTCCTTGTTGGAAGCAAATCCAAAGCAAAGGTCCCAAAACACAGCACCGTGGGAAGCCCCCTAGCAGTTTTGCCCAGATCCGCCCTCCAAACCACTTGCCAAACTTCTGACCTCAGAACACCAGGGCACCCCATAGTTGATTGATTGAAATGGGACCCCACCGCATTGGGAATCTCAACAAAGTCCTGTCCAAATCTCAAAAGGCAGGAAGGGGAGTAGTGTTGGGGTGCTAAAATCAGTACACACGTGTTTCTCGTATGATCAGGAGGTTGTTGAGAGACTTACCCCGCACAACCCCATGCTGATCTTTTTAACGACCTTACACGGAGTTGTGAAGCGGACTCCCGGCGAGCTCCCCAAAAAGTTGCGACAGTGGCCCCCATCCCCTGCAATGAGCGTTTTCAGAGATAGGAGACCCGCAAAATAGATGGCTTCCTTCCGGTTTCCTTTCAAATCAAAAACGCTTCCTCTGGGCATTGGTCGGCTTGTTTATGCAAAAAAGACCAGAGTAACCAAAAGAAACGATGGGCACTCAAAGCAGAGCCTTTCTCCGCAGCCGTGTTGCAAGGTGGAACATTCGCCGCCTGGGCCGAGAAACTTGTGGCACATGTGTTCAAGCTTCATTTCTCGTGGCGAGGGCTGGGGGAGTGTGGTGAGGCGGGGGTGTCAGGGGGAGGGGGCGAGGAAAGGCACGGGCAAACGCAACGCGCGTATACACAAGTGTTTCATTGTATATATATATATATATGTATATATACACGTATGTATATATACATATGCGTGGACCTGCCTTTGGGCCAATTTCACATCAGACTAGACGCAAACTTAGAGAACCACCATATTCAATGAGCTCTCTGAAATAAACACCCAATCCATTCTTTAAAGACTCAATCTGCATTTATCAAGTCCATGCAACTTCCAATCACACGGATTTTCGAGAAACATTTAACGACAAATTGAAATGGAGTTCTAATTTCAAACAGGTCGAATGTAGAATTTATTCACTACAAATGTAGCACGCAAAACATAGTGTGGTGCGAAGTACACTTTAGCAGCTTCAACATGCCTGTTACAGCTCTATCATCGACTCTTTTGCGGTTTGCAGCAACAATCAGCGAACCACCAAGTTTGTGGAATACCACTCATTCCAATCTACATTGCTATAATTTGAACTTGAAACCCAAATCAAATACAAAAGCACCCCATGTCCTTGTGCAATGCCATTACTTGCTGATCGAAGAGGATACATATATGAAGAATTTGCACTCTAATCAATTTCATTAAATCAGATTTGGACGCGCATCTACAAAAGATGCGGTGCTTGCCCAATCCGATTTATTGTTTGTCAATGACATCGTTTCATCATCAAGTATTGTTGGAAGCAAATCCAATCTAAATGTATGCTTCAATTTCACCAAGTACAATTTGAGCTGGTTGTATTCCATGCAAGTCGAATGCAACACATACCTGGAAAGCATGTTGTTTCTGCTAGTTGAAGTTGAAACTAAGTGCACTGTCCAAAGGGATATTCTCCTTAGATAATTCCATATGATGATCACAAAGCATGAACTGAGCCAGTTCAATAGCAGAAAAGTGTGTCAAACGAGCAACGGTTCTGCTTCTTGGCTAACATGCAGTAAAACACATTTATCAGCATTTGTCAGATGATTGTTTCCCCCTCAGAGAAAGGTCGAACTGCTTTCCCGCTCGAAAGAGACTTGAACCTGGGCACTTCCTGACATCCACAAGAAGGGCCATATGGCTGTGGGCCAAAAATGGGTACCCAAAATGGGACCCTGGTAAATGGAACACATGACTAAAACAGGCGGTCCCCTGGTCGTTTAATTTTGACCCACACCCTAGAAAAAACGAAAGCCTTGAAGTGTTGGAAACAGCGAGAGTCTTATCCCAGGTCCAAGATTGCATAGACAAGTTTCTTGGACATCTTGGATCCAGGCCATCCAGGAGTCACTTTAGCTAGGTCCTCCAGTAGAGAGGATAGAATAAGGGTACCCTATTTTTTTCTGTGGTCTATTTTAGTAGGGGACCCCTCCCCCAAAAAAGTGTAAAAGAGCACTACTGGGGGACCTAGTTGTTTTTTGTCGGAAAACCCTGACCTTTTCGAGGGTGGATCCAAGATCCAAGGTGACATCTTGGATCAAGCCAGCTGAACAAAATAGTGTTAAAAAAAAAAAAAAAAACGTGAAATGATGGGGTGCGGCTGGATCCAAGATTCCCAAGAAATTTCTCTGTACTACGATCTTGGATCTTGGGTCCTGCGGAACACTTGGAAGTTGGGAACCTGGAGCATTGGGACAACACTATTACTTCTTGCAAAACCTGAGATTATTGAATCATAAATCCCATATCGTTTTACATGGTGTGGCCCAATATTCCTGAGCACGCAAACACCTGGCAAATCATAAATGGTGGCATCATTGCCGGCTACATATGTATGTATGTATATATATATATATAATATTTATACATCCCGAGGGGCGCGCTTGCAGTACTGAACGAGTGCGCTTGCACGGGTACTCTTATCATTTGGCAGAGTTGTGTAAAGCTAAAGCAGTTGCTGCGTCACCTTTGCCGTTGTAACTCGAGTGACAATGCGGAGGACCCGTCTTCTAAATGGATGCAGTCAACATGAAGAATTCACTGGCCACAACACGTCAATTGGAAGGAGGTCAAAACACTACCAACCAAAACCGTATTTGCATCACGCTTGTCCCTGTGAAAAAAAGGGAAACTACACTGCTCAACCAGCACGAACAGCATGTGTACACACATATATATATATATATATATTTGTATGTATATATATATGTGTACTTTTCAATCGGGGCGTCTGCAAGCGCGCCCGGCTGGATACATATACAAATATATGGTGCCCCAGTTCCTCTCCGAACTCTACAATGTCAAAAAAGCAAAGAACAAAGAAGAAAAGCAAAAAGAACCCCTGGACAAGCAGTGCCGGGGGGGTACCACATATATGGATATATATACATATATATATATATGTATTATATGTACTCTATATTACATATGTATATGAATATGTATATATACATAGTAATATGTTGCGTGTTGTCTGTCACGTCATGTTTGATGTGAGCGTGTGTACCGTGTGCGGCGTGTGCGTGTGCGTGTGCGTGTGCGTGTGCGTGTGCGTGTGCGTGTGCGTGTGCGTGTGCGTGTGCGTGTGCGTGTGCGTGTGCGTGTGCGTGTGGGTGTGGGTGTGGGTGTGTGTGTGTGTGGGTGTGCGTGTGGGTGTGTGTGTGTGTGTGTGTCTGTGTGTGTGTGTATGCGTGTGCGTGTGCGTGTGTGTGTGTGTGTGGATGTGGATGTGGATGTGTGTGTGTGTGGGTGCGTGCGTGCGTGCCTGCGTGGGTGGGTGGGTGGGTGTGCGCGCGTGCGTGTGTGTGTGTGTGTGGGTGTGTGTGTGTGTGGGTGTGCGTGTGCGTGTGCGTGTGCGTGTGCGTGTGCGTGTGTGCGCGCGCGTGTGTGCGTGCGTGCGTGCGTGCGTGTGTTGTGGCGGTAGCACAGAATGATCAAATCCGAGAAGAACGTTTTCTGTTGAGGATGGTAGCCTTTTGTGTTGGAATCAGTGATTTCACTAATCAGCATAATCACTTCAGAGAAGAGCAACAAAAACAAGGACACAAGCACATACTGACAATAACGAATGCGCAAACCGTTATCATCGACAAATCCAAAATGCAAAGAACCCAAGATGACCACCTTTCAAACCCGAGCCTCGTTTCCAAGCAAACACAAGCTGACTGCGGAGCACTGTCTCTGAGGCTCCGGCAGCTCCTTCTCCGTCAGCGTATGCAAGGCATAGAGCATCACAAAACCTCGGGTCGCTCTCCAAAAGTGCACAAAGACTCGATTCCAAGCAAGGCTAAACAAGGTGGAACAGGAGGTAGGGAAACCGCCCAAATATAAGGAAAAGGTTGGCTGGCAAGGCCACAAATGCAGCGTAAGTTTCGTGGTGCAATCATTAGATGACCTTGAAGACCAAGACAGAGCGTGCATTTCAGTTTCAGCCACTCGCTGAACCCTGTGTTCATCGAGAATCGAGCCCAAGCTGTTTTGTTTGTACCCAGGAACAGAGGGTAAACCGGTCAAACACCAGGTTCGGGCTGGCAAAACAGGACCCCCCCCCGGCGACTCTCTCACTGCCAGGGGGCCCTTGCGAGGGACAAGCCACTCCTCAATGCGGCGCAAGGCCGCCCGCATGTCGAAGCTGGGCACCGAGGGGAGACCGTAGTAGCCAACCTCAGTTCCCCATACTGTGGATGGACGAAATCCTGCACCTAAGAAACCCTGTCAAGGGTGATTCCCCGAAAAATACCCAACAAACAATGGTGTCCCATGGTTTCAAACTGGTGCAGGATTCTGCCCATCCACAGTAGGGACTTTCCAACTCGGGAACCATCACTGACAGCGCTCAACCACAGCTCAGGCAAATCCACTGCACGCAAACATGAAACCTGAAAGCATCCCACTACAGACCTTGCAGCAGAGCCTCCCAACGAAAGCCATGGATTTGGATAAGCTCCCGTAGCTTTGCATGAGGCTGCCTCTGTATCTGGGACCCATTGAAGCTGCCCCGGTCAGGCATGATTATTCAGCCCTGAAATAAGGTCTCCATAGCCGGTCCTTCATTGTTGAGGTTGTTCATCCCAAAGTGGTCCGGATGCTATATCAAAAAACCAAACAAAGGAGGTGCGAACGCTTTCTTCAGCCCAACTTTGCGCCATCGAGAAGCATCAATGTACATCACATCCTCATTCGAGTGAGGATGATGGATGCCGACCACGTCATGATGCTTGTTGAGGTATGGGCACAGCCAGATCGGGTACACGCCTGCCGAAAATGTCGGGTGCGGACTACCAGAATTCCGAAAGGATGCGTCCAGTAGCTGCAATTAGCAATTCAACACATCTGCTGAGCCATTAGAGAAGAAGCGAGTTAACAATTTGTGGGATTTTACAGTTAATAATCTTTGCTAAGCAATCAATGATCTTTGCCATGTCATCTATTTCTCTTCTTGGAAGTCTTGTTTGGGGACATCATATGTATACTGTAGGTTTAGAAAGTGATACAAGAGCTTATTTAACAGGAGTTACAATCTTAAAAATATTTACCAACTGGTTCAAAACTCTTTAATTGTTTTTTTCTTACATATCTCTCCAATCCATCTTTATTACACCTTAGAATTACTTCTGTCTTCTTCTTTCTTCTCTTTTTATTAATGTTTACTATAGGTGGGTCAACAGGAATAATTCTAGGAAATTCTGCAGTGGATCTAGGATTACATGATACACATTATGTTGTAGCACATGTTCATGTTGTTCTTTCTTTAGGAGCTATAATTGCTATCTTCCCTGGAATAATCTTCAATGGAGAAAAGATTGTTGGTACTAAGAATTTATTACTTTCATCCTCATGTACACTCTCTCTCTCTCTCTCTTTATCATTGTAATTTAATATTTATTGCTAGTCTTCTTACATTTTCCCCAATGCATTTCTTAGGATTTAATGTTATGACAAGAAGAATCCCATCCTTTCCAGATTATTTTCAATCCTGGAATTACCTGTCATTTATTGGATCAGGAATAACTTTCCTATAATTTTGTCTTTATTGTTATTCCTGTTCCTTTATGTCCTTTATCATGTTCAATACCTTTAACCACACTATGAAAATGAAGTAGAAAAAGGAAAAGCCATCCCTTCTCTTCTTTCCTTTTACCTTGTGTATCTTGTCTGTTCCTTGTCTTTTTCTGTTATCTTCATTCCTCCACCTTTAGAATTCTGGAGTTTTAGAAGTTACGACATGAAGATGAGAAAAGACAAGGAGAAAGAGATGATGCATTCAAGCACCTCCGCATCCAATATAATTCCAAGAGATGTGATTAGTGATAACATGAATTCAGCCGCTGGCTTCATCCATCATCAATCATTGATTATTTACTGTAGCTATAGAACCATTAAAATCCTAACGTAAAAGATAAGGAGAAAGAAACATTCCAAGAGATACACATAAAAGAAAGGAAATCATATATTTGTATCTTTCCATTTCTCTTGTATTTTCAAGTATTAATATTGGTTGAGGACGTTTCCTTCCGTCGCTATCGTTTATCCTTATCCATAATAACCGACGGGAAAGGTCCTGAACTAACCTACAAACACAGTCCAAATAACCATAACAAAAGCAAATTAAAATAATAAAGATAAATAAATATAATTTGTTTTTCTTTTGGTTACATTCCTTTGACCCACAAAGAGTTTGATTGTTGTAAGTTGGAACTGACATTTCACAAAGCCGCAACAGGTCGGCAAGAGTGACCAAGAAGCCAAAACCGTGGTTGTGGAAAAAACAACATGTCTGTGATGCCTACAGTGGCTGGTGGAATTCACCGATTCTGCGATACTCACCTTCAAGGGGGATTCGCTTGGTATCGCAAGTGGACCTAAAAACCCCACATGTCCACAAGGAGGTGACGCCTTGTGCCACCTTTTCAAAGGGGATGCTGAGAAGGGCCCCAAATTCCTCCATTTGCGATAGGTCCCCTGGAAAGAATAAAAATAATTCCAGTAGTGATAGATTCCCTTTAAAACCAACAGGGGAAAATAACACATGTTCGTAACCAAATGGAAGAATTTCATGACCACCCTCCACCCAAAAGCTGCGAATGATCTGCGTGCCTAGCGCTTCATCGCCCAAGTCCAGCATCGGCTTCAGCTCGGTGATCGGGATCAAGTAGTCCTCGTCAAATTCGGATCGACGGAAGGCGCTGGAACTCTGAGGAATTACGGAACGTTGTGTTATCCATGTTCCCTTGAAGCCAATCCCAAACACACTTCACGAGGGATTCAACTATATCGAACAGGTCAGGCGAAGGTGTGAACTGGTCCCCAAATATGTTCAATTGGGAAAAAATGAATGGTCAAAAGGTGTTTTGTGTAGTTGAGTCCGCATGGTAATTATGCGGCATGGCCATATGGTGCTGAACAGACTGTACAATCAAAGGCTGAATGTATACGCCCATGTATGAACCCCTGGTATGAAGCCCTGTATGAACCCCTGCCCACGCGACACAAGAAATTACGATGAATTCCAGCGTAGTCCGTCCAGCACTCTTGATATATCATGGTACACTTGGCAATCGTCTGTGGATTTTCGTGGTAGATACAGTGGATCAGCCAACCGGTGCAGCATTTCGTGAACTTGATGCGCCGCGCCTGAGAAAGTGTGGCTGGCTTGCGCTGCTTTCGCTCTTTCGCGGGTTGGTACATGTTTTGTTGTTTGCTTGGTTCTTTTCTGGACATGACTAATTACAGGTTTGAAATGTGCTTTGCCTTGTTCTGTCTCCGTGTGCAGAAAGCCAAGACCACTTCAAAAAGCAAGCCAACCACACGCTAACAGATTAGCGGTACTTTTTTGCAACGTGAAACGAGGGTGAGCCACGCCTGGATCACATTCACATTGCAGTAGTACCTGGCGAGCGGCAAGGACCTCCAACTCGGATGTGAGCACCCGGCTCACAAACCAACGTCTCAAACGAACACGGTAAATACGGTGAATGGGTGTGTATGTTTGTGAGGGTGGTTTGTTGGGCTGTTTCCAATGAAAATTCATGGAAAATCAATCTCCCCGCCACTTCATGGAGACAGGGGTGGGGGGCCCCCCAATTCCATTGTTCTAGTCTTCTCCCCAAAAATGGAACACTAAACTAAAAATGGAATTTCAGGGGTCGACACCCTCTCAAGTCCATGTTCGGGGGAGTGGGGACGTTCACATATGCGTTTACCCTCCCGCACACAGATCCACCCACTAAGAGACGGGGTTCCTGCAAGACCATCTTCCTGTGAAGGCGACCCTCGGGTTCGCAGGGTGAACCAGAAGTTTGCACAAGCCTCAGCTACCAAATCTGCGCAGCAATCCTCGAGCTCCTTGTGATCTCGCTGGCAAGCCGAGCACGGAGTCAAATGGAAAGCAGGGGCTCGGCGGCAAAAACTGGCCTTCAACAACCCCTTCCCTTTGGATGAAGAGTTGGATTGATGGCACTGGTAAATGATCAAAACCAAGTTGCAACCGGCGTGTAATTTTGACCAAACTGACCCAAAAGGACACCTTCTCCCAGCCCATGTTTCCTCACTGAAATCCGCCGGCATGCCCCTTTAATGCGCCCAGGAGGTCGGGTCAAGCCAAGCAGTGCCGCCTAACCCGTTGTTCCAGCTGCCACTATCTCACTTCCTGAGTGGATTGGCCAACAAAAAAAGCAAGCATTTTATTGACCACTGAGATGGTCTTCCCAACAATATTCAAGTCCAGGAACTCAGGTGAGCTATACACTAGTTTGTGACGGTGAATATGGGAATAGCCCTAAACGAAAAATCCGATCCACGTGCCATTCCCATAGGCCTGACTGGAACCAAGCAGGTGGAGGTGAGCAGAAACGTTTCTGCTGGTTGCCTAGCAAAGGGTGAATGGAGAAACTGGCCACGGAGATACATGTCAAAGGGCAAAGGGACAGCCCGCTACTTACTGGCTGTCAGTCAAATCTAGAGACCCTCCCAGATGCATCACTTCAGCTCTGGCGCACCAAATGGTGTGCGTGTGGCGGCCTAACAACCATGGATTGTACGGGAAACGACCGCAGGGGGAACAACAGGATCCCGCTCAGAGGAGGAAGAGCAAGAACCTGTCTAACCTGTCTTGGCCTGCGGTGGACTCCAAAGGGCAACCCGGAAGTTTGCCTCATCTTTGTTGCATTCTGGCAGCGCAGTTCGTTCATAAAAGACTCCCGGGTAGCCTGGCCGATGCGAATTTCAGGTGTTGAGTCGTTGCATTTGGATCAAGTGTGGGGTGGCGAACAGCACCCTCAACACCACAGAAGCTCCCCCAAGCAAAGTCCACGTTCAACATTGTTCAACAGGTCGAACAACGCCTCGTTACATTTCCACTCAAACATTACGCCATTTCAGGGGGGGCCCTTTACCTGGCGATGAAACCGCACCTTTTGTGAGCACCGGGGCTGGCAGTCCCGACCGCGTCTCCCCCCGGAAAGTTGCGCAACCGCGCAACCCGACCTCATGGTCCACTCCGGCTGATAGGACTTGATGAGGGCGATGTTCAGGGGGTTGATCCAGCCCAGCAGGTATCGAAAGAGCATTGTGTTGCCCCAGGGCTGAAGGTAGGACCTCAGACGCTCGCAGAGAAAACCGAAAGAACATTTCTTCGAATTCCGAACCGCGAAGCTGAAGCTTGTGAGTGCCGCTCGGGAACTTTGCGGGCGTTGAGCAGGCAAGCTGCATTTCCCCCCCCCCCCTGAAAGACAGAGGTTCTTGGGCTGCAGAGGAGCATCCTTCCTCTGGGAAAATGGAACGGGATCGAACCGCTGGAAATCTAGTTAGCCTGGTTGCCCGGTGACCATGGCAGAAAAAGGAAGCATTTTTAGTGGGAGACACGGTGACACGCCATGTGCAACACATACCTCCAGTGACACAACACAACCGGAATCAAACGTACACGTCACTTGTGCTGTGTGAACACAGAACGTCTGGCCAACAACGTATGAGAGGGTGTAAAAATATGAGCGTGCAGGGAAATATCTGTCTACACCTATACAAGCATCAGTATACATGCATTATGTATGAGCATCATGTGTGCCTCAACAAGGAGCACACCTTCATGTGAAATGTATGAAAGGAGCCCCAGTTAATGGATATGGACCTCCCTTATGTATTACTTGTGTGGGGGATTTTGGGAGGGTCCGAGGTTGTGAAAGTAATGAAGTGTTGCAGACGCAAAGTTCTTTTGTCCCGTACGTTCGCAGCTCTCGCCCATTTTGCCGACGCTGCTGGAACGGGATGTGAGCCAAGCGAGCGGAAGCCCGCTGCGGCGGACAAAGGCATCAAGCAAGCTCTCGAGCGTGTGTTCTGATGGGACCGGACTACATGCGCTACATGTGGTCGAGTTCGTTTCCCTTCTCGAATTGTCTACTCATCCACTCGTCTACAAAGGCCACTCAATTTGCCCAGCCGAGCAGTGCTGCGTGGCCACCAGGGAGAAATCGAGTGCAAGTTTTCGGGCTTGGACCGGGTACCTTCAGCAAGAAAACCCCCAATCAGTTTGACGCACCTGTGGGCTTTGAGGCTCAACGTGAGACGGGGCCGTCCAACAAACCTTGCTGTTCGAGGGGAAGGGGAGAAATTCAGGATCGGCTAAAGGCTGCAACAAATGACAGCTCACAAGTTCCTCAATGCAAACATGCCGATCCCAACCTTCCCGCAACCATGCGTCCCAATTTCTCAGGGCCTTGCTTAGGTGAACAAATGAGCAAGGGAAACCGTCATGACCCTGGAAAAGACTGAAGGGTTGCGAAACTGGAGGTTGTGTCAAAATAGGCATTCGGCCCTCTTAATTTGGTGGTGTGCCTGTTGATTTCCCTTAAACCTGAAAAACATACCAACTCCAAAACCACACACCCCAAAGAGGCAACGGTTGGAGAGACCCGCTTTCCGCTGCAGGCTCAGCCCCGGGCAGCTCCCAGAAGATACCTCGCAAGGCCGGCTCTCGCGAGAGGAAAATCATTAGAACCTGGCTTTAGTTAGTCTCGTCCCGAACTCAAATTAAAAAGTAAGGGCGTCACATGGTGTCACTGAACAACGGGGCTTAATGATTTCAAACTTGCTATTTGGAAAATGTCTTTCAACACCAACTATGCTACCAGCCTATCAACATTGCAACGTGTTCGGAGCTGTCATTGCCTTCCCCGCAATTATTCAAAGCTAAGGCTGAAGTTGAACTCGTGTACTTCTCAGTTGAAGAAACGTTTTTTGTTACTTGTCAAACAATGGGAACGTATGTGTTAGCTAGCACATGAACCCAGGGACTTAACATCACGTCAACTGCTTGATTCATATTGTATATATTATATATATATATGCTTCACAAACAACCAGACATTCCATTTCAAGACACTAACGGAAACTCTGGGCCATTCAACGTGGTGCCTGTGATACTCCTCCTAGTCTGGATTTCTGCCATTATTGCCAAACTTGCCGGTCTGGACTCCGCAAACTCTTTTTACCTATGTCGCATCGCACCTACCCTGGTGGTTTTGTGCAAAGATAAACCAAACCTGCAACAGAGCTGCAAGCTCCTTTTACTTGCTCAGGGGATTTCTCGCAACAAAATAGTTTTAGAAGCGGGTGAACGAAAGCTAGCCAGACCAACAACGACATGTGCAACTTAGTGGTTGCCAAGATATTGAGAGAAGCAACCTTAATTGAACACCAAGAAAGTCATTGAGACCCCAATTTGGACCAGGCCCTAATGAAAAAGACCCCCCAGCTGCCGATCGCAAACGTGCGGATGACCCTTCGTGGCGGGGAGGGCGACAGTGGGGGCATAGTAAAGAATTCGTCTTCAGAAATAATACGAATCATTCCCCCCAAGCTTCGCATATCAATCCCTGAAGCCGTCCCAGCCCCCAAAATTGCTACCTCAATGCTAGCACAGCTAGCTTTCGTGACATGCCAACTGTGTTACTTTAATTTCAAAAGAACCCCACCCTCCTGGTTGTTTCTCCTGCAGTGTGTTTTCAAACCACACCGCCATTCCATCAGGGGGTCCATTTTCATGGAATCAATTTTAGTACCCCCAAACAAATCACCTATAAGCCATGGACAGCCGTTTCTTGGCTAGAACAACGTTACTGCCCCAATAAAGTGCCTACGTCAGAACACCTTGGCACGCTAAGCCCCACCACCCCAGCTTTACCCCTAACTGCATTTTGATGAAGGTTTTTAGAGTTGAAAACAAACAAGTTGAAGGATGGTATGAAGATTGGCCTTACAAGCTCCCATGGCGAGGAAGACTTGCAGCCAGGGTGGATGAACCACATGAGCCAAGCCCCTGATGTCCCTGCTGCCCAGGCTGAACGACAAACAGCCTGCCAACAGCAGCTGCAACTCACCAACCAACGGACACACACACACACACAAAAAAAAGAAGAAAACAAGCAAGTCACGCCGAGTCACGCCACCAACACCAAGGAAGCACCCCACCACAGCAGGTCAGCAACAAGCAACTCGCAAAGACCCAGCAACCCAGTCACAGAATGCAACGAACAATCCTGCATACTAAGCAAGCCTCTGAAATCTTTTCGCCCAGCCGAGAGGCTCTTGGAATGCCGGTGCAAATATTCGGTGGTTCCTCGGATGCTCCGGCTGGAAGAACCAATTCCGCAACATTCGCTCCAAAGACGTCCAAATGCAAGGGTACAAGCATTTCCTCAGAAGCTACCATGATGTCATTTTGTTGGAGGCGCATTTGCAATCCTTCCGAACAAGAAACATACACCTTCGACAATCACGGGCTCTTTCCGCACACATACACATGGCATTGCCTCGAATCCGGTCATATATCTCTGCCCATGCTGAGAACGCGGCGCATGCAGACCGAACCTCGGCTGTGCAGCAGGAAGCTTCGAAAGAGTCAGAATCAAACAGGTTGGGTCGGGTTACAAGATAATCTCGGCTGGAACCCCATTGCTGTCAAATTTGCGGCCTTTAGTAGGCAAAGAAGCGCGACTTTTGCCAAGAGAAAAGCCATGAGCAAAACCAAAATTCCCAGACATTATCGTACCCGATCTTTTGAGAGAAAAAGGGGCTAAATCGTCAGAGCACTTCATGTATCGTAGGTTGGAACAAAAACAGCGGCGTCTAAGGATTATCAAACAAAACGTGCCAATTGGTCAGAAATCTCCCTCATTTTAGGATACACACAGTGAATATGAACCAAGCAAACAGGCAAGCCATCAAAATACTCTTCCTGGCCATCACAATGTTTCAACCATGTTTACCCTTTATGGCGCTTGTCAAGTTCCCCTTCAAACGTGGCATCAACCAGCAAATGGACCCCTTTGCAGCCAATCCCCTGTGCCATGTCGGACGAGTTGGGTAGGTGTAAAAGCAAGATGGATTCCACTGAATGCTTGACTTGATGCCAGCGTTCGAAAAGCACATGACCCAATTTGGGACCCCGGTGACCCGTCAATCCCTTTTGCAAGGGCTCCCTAAACTAAGTGTCCAGAAAAGGCATCCCCATTCTAAACAGCCCTCATTGGATTCATGTGGGCCTACCATGTCTCTCGGTTGCTTTGGTGCTTCTTTCTAACGCGACAGCTTCTCTTGGCTTGGACTGGAACCAAAGAACAAATGTGACACGCCTTTGCCCAACAATTCATCGGATCCCACCCCCCCTCCCCCCAGCCCTCAACCCCACTGCCTCCCAGCGCTTCCCAGAAATAAAACCCGAGTAAGGCTTCAGGACATACAGGGGTGGGAACAGGGGAATGGATCCTCCCCGCAGCTCACAGAAGGGGTACCCAAGGTGAAACCCGAGCTCAGCCCACTCACCATATACATGAAAAGCTTCAGCCCGGTACATTGCGACATGGACGAGGCAAAGGGCTACGAACTGATTCAGGAAAAACTGGTCGCCCCAGCGGTACCCTCACGAGCCGTTATATGTGGCCCTGGGTCACCCGCCCACTCACGCACCCCCACACACCACACACACACACACAAGCACACACAAGCACATAAGCACACACGCACACACGCACACACGCACACACGCACACACCCACACACACACACACACACACACACGCACGCACGCACGCACGCACGCACGCACGCACGCACGCACGCACGCACGCACGCACGCACGCACGCACGCACGCACGCACGCACGCACGCACGCACGCACGCACGCACGCACGCACGCACGCACGCACGCACGCACGCACGCACGCACGCACGCACGCACGCACGCACGCACGCACGCACGCACGCACGCACGCACGCACGCACGCACGCACGCACGCACGCACGCACGCACGCACGCACGCACGCACGCACGCACGCACGCACGCACGCACGCACGCACGCACGCACGCACGCACGCACGCACGCACGCACGCACGCACGCACGCACGCACGCACGCACGCACGCACGCACGCACGCACGCACGCACGCACGCACGCACGCACGCACGCACGCACGCACGCACGCGCAGCGCGCGCGCAAGCGCAAGCGCACGCGCACACGCACACGCGCGCGCACGCGCACGCGCACGCGCACGCGCACGCGCACGCGCACACGCACACGCACACGCACACACGCACACACACACACGCACCCACACACACACACACGCACGCACGCACGCACGCACGCACCACACCACCCACCCGCACCCGCACCCCACCGCACCCGCACCCACACCCACACCCACACCCACACCCACACCCACACCCACCCCCACCCGCACCCGCACCCGCACCCGCACGCGCACCCGCACCCGCACCCACACCCACACCCACACCCACAGCCACCCGCACCCGCACCCGCACGCGCACCCGCACCCGCACCCACACCCACACCCACACCCACACCCACACCCACCCGCACCCGCACCCGCACGCGCACCCGCACCCGCACCCACACCCACACCCACACCCACACCCACACCCACCCACACCCGCACCCGCACCCGCACCCGCACGCGCACACACACACACACACTGTGTGTCTGTGTGTCTGTGCGTGCGCGTGTTGTGTGTGTGACGCTGAGGCCCAGAAGGGGATGTTTACATTCTTAAACCACCGAAAAGGGACATGTGGCAGTTTCTGAAAAATACAGTAGAAAACCTCTAAGCTGTTCCCTTCAAAAGAGTGAAACTCGAATTCCCCAAGTATTCTGATTCTGAGAAATCACCACATAGGGACCCCTGGACAAGTTCAAGCGTCCGAGGAGCCTTGCTTGATGTCCTGGACCTGCTTGAAGAACCAGGGGTCGTGCCACTTCCCCAAGGACAAAATCTGCTCCGTCGGCTCAGGTGCATCCTGGGCTGAACATCTCCTGGGTGTCTCATGTTTGAGGGTATGTTTTGAGCTTGCTGTAAACGCAAACCAAAAGGAAAACAACCACTGTGACTGCGGGGGTGCCCCTGACTTGACACATACAACAGGAGCCATGGTCAACAAAACGACACATTTTGATGGTCCATGTCAAGTTGCAGGAGTGTAAACTAGCTGGGGAAAGGACCCTTTGTCTACCCATCTCGGGTGCACAAGGAAACCTCTGCAACAGCTAGGTGGTTCCTGAGATGCGGGGGCGCGAACATACCTGCACATGGCCAGTGTGTCCTCTGTACCATTCAAACACAATGCGAAATGGGGCCCTGTTTGGACCCCAGGTGCTTTGGACCCCCACAAAAAAGTGTCCGCTCACGTCTTTCTCGAGCATTGCATCACCAAATAAAAACAAACAAACCTTTCATGAGCCACTGCCAACATGTACTGTTGCCCTGGACATTGGACAATTAGATAGTCCCCTGGCTTTTGAGGGGAAATTGAGAGCCCCATGTCCTTCCCAAATGTGTCTTATAGACAGGATACTTCCATGACCAACCCTCACATGGGATCTCTCAACCCTGTTGGAATCATTTCAAGTGGCAATCTCACCTGACTGTTCAGGGCTTCCAAGCAGGTGGTTAGGGGAAAATAATCCAAGCAAGACACATTTGCCAATTTTCCGGATAGTCCCTTTGCTTGCCAAAGTCTTGCAATAGCATCTCCGGAAAAAAGGGAAAGTTGCAATCTGCAACCTGGGCTTTCTCATGGCCATCTGCTTCACTTGTTCGTGCCTTTTTAAAACGAGCACATGCTTTGCTTGACCATCAATGCATGATGTACGACTGGGTGATCTTAACTGCATCTGATGATAAGTGTGATGCTCAGGGAACCTAGATCATGCATGAGTAACAATGCCTTACACACAGAAGCACTTTATTGGCGGCTCCTCACATTGGACACCCCAGCGTTTCAGATGGTTTGGACACAAATACTGGCGAATCAACATATGAAAGGATTTCATGTCAGTAAGAGGGTACCCAACCCAAAGCTAGGGCGTCGAGGAATCGACGCAGATCCATCAGCCAAGGTGCAACAAACTGGCCCTTCATGACCTTGGGCTGAAGGCAGCACCACCCCCTCCCACTAGCATACCCGCGTTGACACAAGACGCAAAGTGTGAGATACACATGTCGGGCAAAGGCGGGCGGTCAGACATGGCCCCATGTCCGTCCCAAGGCAGAGACCGAGGACAATATCATAACTTCACGTGTGGAAGTTGACTCTCGGTCACCTCGCCATCTCAAGGAACACACCGGTGGAGCTCATCTCCGCTCCGGCTGTACTTGTCTGACGTCGTGTCCGGAATCAAACTGGGTGTCGGATAGAGACTCAGGAAAATAATCCACTCCTTTGGCCAAGCCAGGCAACGGGGCGAGGTATGCTCACCAGGCGATTTCTTGAACTCAGGACATTCAACTAAGCTCTGGAGGAAATGACTGGTTTGTGAATGTGAGCACACTAGCTGACAAGTTTGCTTGTAAGCGGGCAAGATAGCCAGTGTTGGCAATTCCCCAAGAAACTCAGTGCCCTTCTTCCAATTGTACGTGACCCAGCGTGGGCTGCTTTTGGTTGGCAGTGGCCGCCCAATATTAGTTTTGTGACCTTCAAACCCTGTAATAACAAGAAACTCCGTTTCCTGTCTAATGCGTGCTGAAAGATAAGGACAACCATCAAATGTCCAAGTGCTGCAATTCGTAGCGAGTGCGGGATTGAACAGTTGTAACATGGTTGATAGGAAGTACTGCAAATGCATCCATTGGTTGTGTTTTGCTCGTCCCTTCTTTCCTAATATGGCTACTTTGTTGCTTGCATGCTTGATTGCGTATTTGCATGGTCGCTTGCCTGCTTGCCTGTTGCAGATTATGTTGCTGGTTTTGGCAAAAAACAAACCCTGTCATGTGAGCCCTGCTATATATGGCTAGCTTCTGTCAGAAGGGCGAGCAGGCGCTGTCCACATTCAAGCCTGCACGAGCTAAAGCGAATTACCGCACCAATGACAGTCACCAAAACACTTGCCGAACTCAGTGTGCTCACGTTAATTGTGTGATGACCACACCTCCAACCACCCAAAGGATAACAATGCCGATGCCCAAGGCGCAAGTGTTCAGCACACTGCCTCACTGCCACCCAGTTTGATTTAACACGGGGAAAACCAAGCACCAGACCCGGACCCTCCATCCCTCCGTGGGAATTCCAAAACCAAAAGCCCCAACTGCAGCACCGGAGGGCCACCGCGAAGGTGGGGTTGAAGGCCAAGCCCTCCACAAACATGTGGTCGCCCTTCACTGCGCTCCTCGGGTTACATCGCTTCAACCGCTTCAAGCAGTGAGACCGTGAGACCTGGTAACAAATTGCTTGGAGTCAGCCAATCATGTCCAAACAAACTTGAGTGGTCAAAAATCAGGGGGCAGTCAGTTGCTTGGAGGTTAAGAGAATCCAACCTATAGAAACGGCAAGCATCTCTTCAAGTCTCACATTAAGATACCCATCTATACGGCATGCGTCGAGCTGCAGCTCGCCTCTTGACCCGGGGTCTGATGTGCTTCTTCTGACAATACGTTGTTGACTGACATATGCAAGCGAACAATGTTGTCTTTGAACATAGTCGGAATCAAACCATCTGCATCCGCAGCATCCCTAAAAGTTGTGTTTCTTCTGCAAATCCGGATAAACCATTGCTTCAGCAAGGATTCAGGCTTGACAACACCTTGGACTGCAGCATTGCCCATTTCACTCAAAGTCAATGGATGGGAAACACTTTTCCCTTAAACCATGCCCAATATGATTGTTTTCTGCTCGTGTTCGGGTAGTCTTCTGCATACGGGACACATTGGCACTACGTGATAGAATTAATTGGCTCCGGTGGAACATGAATATATGACATTCGCTAATTGAAATATCTGTAGTGCGAGACAGCTTCCCTGTGTGGGAGGTTGATTGAACAAAATTCCATAGCTGCCCATCTGAAAATGGTTTCAGGCCATGACATCCGGGGTTGTTATGTTGCTCAGAGCGCCATATTCAAATATTTGCAGGTCCTTTTTGGTTGCAGTACATAAGAGGCAGTTCGGTCATCCAAGTGTTGCCCACACCCACATTCTCACGCGCGGGCAACAAAGTGATTATAGCGTGGCCTTGTGTTCAACAAATGCACTTGTGGGAAGGCACGCGTCCAACTGACGCGAAAGCGCGCTGGAGGGAGGCCTAGCAAGCCTTGTGTCGAAAGATTTTGTGCTAGGCAAAGGCGAAAGAAGCGGGTCCGGATTGGAGCGCGGGCACCAAACCTCTGTTACGGAACGTCTGACCGAGCACCCTGTTCTGGTCTCTTTTCCACACATCAGGATCGAACACTCTTGTTCGCGACATCTGGAACACTTTGATGGAGCACTCAGAAGGTTGCCAAGCAGCCGGTCCGGCCCGCTCTTCTTCCGTATGGAACAAGTCTGGAACATGTCTGGAACGAGGTCTGGAACGGGCGGGCTCACTCTTTATTTGTTTCATTATGTCTCTCTGTCTTGATAACTTGTCCAAATGTATTTGTACGTTATTTCTTTATTTATTTATCCATTATTTAGTTCTTTCTTTCTTTCTTTATTTCTTTCTTTCTTTCTTTCTGTCTTTCTTTCTTTCTTTCTTTCTTTCTTTCTTTCTTTCTTTCTTTCTTTCTTTCTTTCTTTCTTTCTTTCTTTCTTTCATTCATTCTCTCTGTTTTTCTCAGTCTCCGCTCTTGTTCCTGATGCATTTCCTGCTTTCCCTCTATCTTTCTCGCTTTCTGTGTTTCATTTGTTCTTTCTTTCTTTTCTTTCCCTTCCCACAAGGGTTTAGATCGGATGTCTGGAAGGAGGGTATCCAACGAACTTGCTGCAGGTTGATCCGGACATCTGGAACGATGTCTGGATCACATGTGGGCCTGAGGCTTGTTCCGAAGCAAATGGTTTTTGCCGTTTCTGTTATTGGTAACCCTCGGGATATCCTCGTTGCTCTATGCAGGCAAGACCGCAACCGCCCACCAAGGATCATGTGCTGCACATGAATCAATTGCTTGCCATAATGAATGTCTGGATGCTCAATATCCCAAACACAGACATGGGCAAACTTAGGCAATCATCTAAGCCTGGCAATTGTGGTGACTTGCTTCAACGAACAGCTCCAGCAAACGGATCCCGTTCAAAGATGTGGATCTTGGCAAATTAAGCGCTGTAGAATCCCCATGAAAACCTTCGTTCTGGTTGAAATCGCTCGCTTTACCCCCGAATCCGGTGATCTTGACTTGAAGCAAAGGCATGCCCATATTTACATTGTGGATATCCAGGTCTCTACACACGTGATTGGTCCTTGGGTAAGCAATCGGAACCCGTTTGCTAGAACCCGCGAACGGGTCCCTTGCGGACCCTCGCGTCCGTGCCAGGGCGCTGCAGCGACTCGCACAGGGTAGTTCTATCGGTGCAGTGCGTCAAGTGCAGCCGCACGAACGGCTTCGCCTTTCGCAACCGTGAGTCCACGCCACTGTGCAGAACCGGCTGGTGCGTGACCACGCGCAACAACGCGTAGTGCCAACCAGGATACAGTGGATGCAAAATACAACGATCATACAGTGGATGGACGACATCCTGCATTAGTTGGGAGATGGGAACAGCATTGAATCGCAGAAAGAGCTCGTCCTTAAATTAGCTGATCATAGCGACCAAAGTGCTACAGGCATTCATGCGATGCAAGCTGGACCAGATTAGTTTCCCCTGTACGAGCACTCTGCCCAACCCCAGGGGTAAGCCACCTACTAACAGTATCAACCAAAGCAACGCTGGTTCCAGGCTCAGCAAGAAAACAAACTGGTTGATGATCCAAACTATGATGTGTCATTTGCTCACCGCCTGTGCAAAACACGGCCTCACCCTGTCCAGTCAGCCTGTCATTGGCACAAACCCACTTTGACGAGTTTGGCTCGCATGGATCGTCAAGTAGTGTTTGTTTTCCTCTTGGTGTCGTTCACCAAAATTCAAAAGCTCCATGAAGGAGATCAAAATGATGCTAGCCCCCGGAAAGAACGCCATATGTCAAGGAACAAGCGACACCTCAGCTGATACACAGGGTCAAGCATCAAATTCCCTCAGGTTGCCACTGTTCATCAGGGTGACCCGAAATCCGCATTTAGCAAGTGCAAACCTTTCGGATGGTACGCCTGACCGTCCTTTGGTGCAAGCGATCGGAACCGGTTGAAAAAGAGACTACGGTGAGGGTCCCTTCATCGCCATGCCCCAGACTCGTGGGCCATTTCATTTGGGCCTTTGTCAGGGTACGCTAATTGGCGAGGTTCCCCTTAACCCGCTGAAAGTGACTTTGCGAGTGAGGATACGTTATGTTTCACGGAATTTCCTCACGTTTTTCTTGCAGCCGTCCTACAAGGTCGCCAAGGTCGATCGGGTATCTGTTTTTTGCGCTCCAAAAATACGGATCCGGGCAAGTTACTACAACTTGCCAAACCGGAAATCAGAGATCCCCACATAAAGGACCCTTACCGTGGGCGACCTTGCTCTACCCCAGGTCACCTCAAAGGAAGGTGGGTCGCAAATTGGCTTGACCAAACAGCTACGCGCTATCCAAAACTACCCCAGTGTTTGCCGTCAGCCGAATATCTAACATCTTGAGTCCTCCAAACTTTGTGAACCTTGCGCTGTTGAGTTACGTGAAACCCATTGAAACGAAGCGGTGTTGCTTTCTTAAGCTCACTAAATATAGAGCATTCAAACTTGATCAGAGTAATGGCAAATAAGAGGCCAAATAATTTCACGATACATGTTTCGCTTGTAAGCGTGACTCAATTTGTGGTGTCGCAAAGCCAGATAAATCTTTTAGGCCCTTGTACCCCCAGTACCAGGTTGAAACCAGTATATAACAGTGCTTCTGGTCCCAGAAGTGGTAAACCCAAGGCCCATATTGCGGGCGTTACAATAGGGGACCAACCAAAATGGCTTCGTTTTATCCTTTGGGTTCCCCTTCAAACCCGAAAAATGAGTTCCCTCCCCAAAACAACACACACACAATGACTTGCTGGTGCTCAGCAGGGGAATGAGGGAAGGATCCCTATAAACCATGGTGGTTTCCTTTCAGGGGACCAAAGCCTGGGTTCATTCAACCACATTCGCTCCCTATCACAGCCGGATTATTTAGGCGGCCCCAGGCACCGCCAAGAGCCCCTGGGCTCCGAGTGGCTGGGATGATGCGAAGGGTGGCAGCCACCAGGATGCCGTGGGTGCCGTGACTCCACGGCAGGGTGTGAAAGAGCTCCTGGCCGCGGGGGAGCGCCACCACAATGCAAATGAATGGGGGTGGCTTCGGTCACTTTTGGCGTTCCTTTCTAATGTTGGACACGCTTTAATGGCAGTAGCCTGTAGTGTGTAAAGCTGTTTTTCCTAATTCAGGATCGTTGGACTGCTTGGGGGTCCTCTATTGTGGCAAGTTCCACCCCCCCCGCAAACAAACAAAATAATTTCTGGAGCAAACACAACTAGCCAAAGAAGCCTGGCAAGCAAATCTGGGCAACCATTAGGAATTCCTTGTTTGAAATGGTTCCTAAACCTTCAAATTTAAGATAACTTCTTTACAAAAAAGTAAGGGCACACATTCACACAAAGGGGGGGGTGCCCGCAAGAGGCCCTGATCCTCTTTAATGTGACTGTTTCGGGGATCCTCTTTGGTGTCCAACTATTTTTTGGGGGGAGGTTGCTGAAAAAACGGGCCTTGGCAATACTAAAGTAGAATTGGCAATACTAAAGTCAGTACTGGGAATCTGAGAGTCAGCCTTAGCAATACTAAAGTAGAATTGGCAATACTACGGGAAGTACTGAGAATCTGCGAGAGGGCCTGGCAATACTGAGTAAGTACTGGGAATCTGAGAGGGGGCCTTTACAATACTAAAGTAGAATTGGCAATGCTAAAGTCAGTACTGGGAATCTGAGAGTCAGCCTTGGTAATACTAAAGTAGAATTGGCAATACTACGGGAAGTACCGAGAATCTGCGAGAGGGCCTGGCAATACTGAGTAAGTACTGGGAATCTGAGAGGGGGCCTTGACAATACTAAAGTAGAATTGGCAATGCTAAAGTCAGTACTGGGAATCTGAGAGTCAGCCTTGGCAATACTAAAGTAGAATTAGCAATACTAAAGTCAGTACTGGCAATACTAAGGGAAGTACTGGGAATCTGAGAGGGGGCCTGGCAATACTGTAGATTTGGCAATGCTAAAGAAAGTACTGTCCCTCCCAGACTCCCAGGATCTTCCCTAAAGAGGGTCCGAAAGGCTGATTCCACCGTTCAAGGGGAGGTGGGTCACATTACAGCAGGTCTAACATTATTCCGCTGTCTCGGGGTGCTGGACGTTGCTGTTGACCCCCCGCAAAAGCTTAACTTTTGGGGGGTTTAGTGAAAACACCTTCATTTTCCAAAAAAAGGTAAGGTCTAAAGATCCAACCCAATAGCAGTCAAGTTCACCCGAAAACAGCACCAACTGCCACGTGCGCAGAGCGAGTGTTTGACCCACTCCTTGTCACTCGCCTCGGTGATCTTCTGCACCTGAAAGCAGGGACCCGGTCAGATCGAACCAATGGGATTCTCAGCTTTTGCGGGCCCCACTTGGGATGGCTAAATTGGACGCCAAAGGTAAAAGATGGCTTTTAACAGGAAAACCCCAAAGCTAAACCCGCCATTTTGCGGATTCCCTTTTTTTCAAAACATGGTTGTGGCTTCCAACGTTTCGACAATAAACACAAAAGCAGAGTGGTAAGGAGGCACACTGTCCGGGCAGTCCCAAAGGGTTCATTTACCAGGGGGTGGTGGGTAACAAGGTTGGAGCATGTCAGAAAGAAACAAAGGCATGGTTGTGAAACGAAAACAAAGAAACAACTGCTCAGGTTTTGTTGGGGGGCGGGGAATGGGTAAACAGATCAATAGGCCGTATTTACCAATTTATAAATGTAGTTTGTTGGAGCTCAAAATTGGTGAACCATACAAAATGATTAATGTCCCTTCAGTTCCCTTGAACACAACCCAAATACCCTGAAAATTAAACCCAAAACAGGGCACCCTTGAACCAAAACGGGTCATGCGACCAAGTACGAACCAAACCCTTGCTTCCGAAGTCCTGCCTCTCCGGTGCAGGTCACCATCTCATACGCATGGCCTAGGCGTCGAAGGACTCAATCAAAGTTGCCGAGAGCAGCGTGTGCCCTAAGTCTCTCTTTGATGGATACATATCAATAATTCACCTCTTGGTAGTCCTGTAAAGTGGAACCCCAAGAGGGGATGACTTCAAACGCTGGTGTCAGCTGTGGCCCATATTGGCCTTTGATTTGCTAAGTCAGTGGGCTGTCACGTTTTGCGGCATGCATGTCACTCCTCCCAATCCCATGTTGTCAAACATCATCAGGCTGGCAACTAGGAAAGAGTGACGGAATCCTCCGAGTCCCATAAACGTCGAATCTGTGCGATTCCACACATTTTGATGCTTTAGCCAGTGATTAGAACGATCAGAGCCTCTTGGCCTCCGTTTTGATGGGGCCAGAGCCTTTGTGCTCGGCCTTCCTCGGCTTGAAGGATGGGAGGACCTAACAAACCCGCGCTCCGTGTGGACGAAACCTGGCTCTTGTTTCAGATCATATCCCCCGCACCTCGAAATAGAAGGGCAACCTCGACTAAAAATGGTTGCCAAATTGGGAAAATCGAAGGTCAAAAGGTCAAGCGTTGCTTTCTGCAAAAGTGCAGGCTTTCTTCCAGAATGAGGCACTCCCCAATCAAAAACAAGCAGGGTTTCATTCAGCGGCTGACTTCCCATTAGCCATTGTACACCTCTCATAAATTTACTACATTTCTTAGAAAGGTGCCCTCAAAGCCCGTTCAAAACTGGGCCACTCCCTGGGCACAACAAGCACATGTTTTAGACTCTGTTTCATATTTAGTCCGCAGACCTCCGGACCCCAAACAAATGCTAGGATCACTTACCACGCGCTCCATCATTACTCATTACTCCCCCGACTCGCGACTCGCAACATCGGGGCTCCGGGCATATCTCATTGAACATGCCATACTTCCAGGAGGTGGACTCAATACCGCAGCCCATCAGGAGCCTGGCCACGTATGTTGAAAACTCCCCCACGCACTTGCTTGACTGAAAAAGAGAATTCCCCCTGAAGATGTCTGCACCTTTGCTTTGGTACTCCCCGAGTTGAACAGTGTTTTGATGCCCCCAAAAGTTGTGGGCCAGGATGGTCTAAACTCAATTCCGGTCGGAGCCTTAATAGTTGTGTTCGTGACCGCCCTTACCGCATCTACCACAGCCAAAAGAGTTCTTGATCGTGGCCCAAATGGCTCTAGGTTCACCAGACCAAAGCCGTGCTGACCCAGCAAAGAGAGGGAACAGATTCGGGCTCCAAGAAGGCTCATACACAAAAAAGAACACACAAACCACGGACTAGGCGCACCCAACAAAAAGAGACAAACGATTCGGGTTCCAAGAAGGCTCAAGCAAACTAGGCGGGTGCCAAACATAATTGAACCCAGACCACCGTTGACCCAAGCATGACGCCAGAAACCGTATCCTGAGGCCGGAGCCCAGGCGTAAAACGGCACTATGGCAGGTCCGGGCGCAAAAGGCCCCAAGCCAATGCGCCAATATCCGCCGACATTGCTCGGCGTGTCGGATACTTACTAGAGGATAGAGGATAACCCCCCCCCCTAACCCCCCCCCGCCCGACGTCTATTACGTATTACGTAGGTTTTTGGGGGGGGGGGGGGGAGGGGGGGGGGGGGGAGGGGGGGGGGGGGTCCCCCACGTACCGCGCGGCAATTTGATGACGTTCCACTAAACGTAGTCTTCGGGGAGCCGGTGTCGCAAAACAGGGGTCCCAGGCTCGATTCCCCCTGCCGGCTTTTTTGCTGGCTTGGGCTTCCTGCATCCTTTTGCCGAAAATCTGGAAAAACTCAATGTTTTTGGACGTCCTCTTTGCGAAAACGCTGGAAAAACCTGGAAAAACCGTGTTTTTTTTGCGGGAAATACTGGGGAGCAAAGGGGAAGTGCAAGGATACATACATACATACATACATACATACATACATACATACATTACAGTACATTACATTACATTACATGACATTACATGACATTACATACATACATACATTACATACATACATACATGCATACATGTATGTAAGCATGCATGCATGCATGCATGCATACACACACATACATACATACATACATGCATTACATTACTTACTTACTTACTTACTTACTTACTTACTTACTTTACTTACTTACTTACTTACTTACTTACTTACTTACATCACATACATGCATACATGCATACATACATACATGCATACATACATACATACATGCATGCTTACAGACATACATACATACATACATACATGCATGCATACATACATACATACATACATACATACATACATACATACATACATACATACATACATACATACATACATACATACATACATACATACATACATACATACATTACATACATACATACATACATACATACATACATACATTACATACATACATACATACATACATACATACATACATACATACATACATACATACATACATACATACACACACATACATACATACATACATACATACATACATACATACATACATACATACATACATACATACATACATACATACATACATACATACATACATACATACATACATACATACATACATACATACATACATACATACATACATACATACATACATACATACATACATACATACATTACATACATACATACATACATACATACATACATTACATACATACATACATACATACATACATACATACATACATACATACATTACATACATACATACATACATACATACATACATACATACATACATACATACATACATACATACATACATACATATACATACATACATACATACATACATACATACATACATACATACATACATACATACATTACATACATACATACATACATACATACATACATACATACATACATACATACATACATTACATACATACATACATACATACATACATACATACATACATACATACATACATACATACATACATACATACATACATACATACATACATACATACATACATACATACATACATACATACATACATACATACATACATTACATACATACATACATACATACATACATACATACATACATACATACATACATACATACATACATACATTACATACATACATACATACATACATACATACATTACATACATACATACATACATACATACATACATACATACATACATACATACATACATACATACATACATACATACATACATACATACATACATACATACATACATACATACATACATACATACATACATACATACATACATACATACATACATACATACATACATACATACATACATACATACATACATACATACATACATACATACATACATACATACATACATACATACATACATACATACATACATACATACATACATACATACATACATACATACATACATACATACATACATACATACATTACATTACATTACATACATACATACATACATACATACATACATACATACATACATACATACATACATACATACATTACATACATTACATACATACACATACATTACATACATTACATACATACATACATACATACATACATACATACATACATACATACATACATACATACATACATACATACATACATACATACACATTACATTACACATACATACATACATACATACATACATACATACATACATACATACATACATACATACATACATACATACATACATACATACATACATACATACATACATACATACATACATACATACATACATACATACATACATACATACATACATACATACATACATACATACATACATACATACATACATACATACATACATACATACATACATACATACATACATACATACATACATACATACATACATACATACATACATACATACATACATACATACATACATACATACATACATACATACATACATTACATACATACATACATACATACATACATACATACATACATACATACATACATACATACATACATACATACATACATTACATACATACATACATACATACATACATACACATACATACATACATACATACATACATACATACATACATACATACATACATACATACATACATTATACATTACATACATACATACATACATACATACATACATACATACATACATACATACATACATACATACATACATACATACATACATACATACATACATACATACATACATACATACATACATACATACATACATACATACATACATACATACATACATACATACATACATACATACATACATACATACATTACGACATACATACATACATACATACATACATACATACATACATACATACATACATACATACATACATACATACATACATACATACATACATACATACATACATACATACATACATACATACATACATACATACATACATACATACATACATACATACATACATACATACATACATACATACATACATACATACATACATACATACATACATACATACATACATACATACATACATACATACATACATACATACATACATACATACATACATACATACATACATACATACATACATACATACATACATACATACATACATACATACATACATACATACATACATACATACATACATACATACATACATACATACATACATACATACATACATACATACATACATACATACATACATACATACATACATACATACATACATACATACATTACATACATACATACATACATACATACATACATACATACATACATACATACATACATACATACATACATACATACATACATACATACATACATACATACATACATACATACATACATACATACATACATACATACATACATACATACATACATACATACATACATTACATACATACATACATACATACATACATACATACATACATACATACATACATACATACATACATACATACATACATACATACATACATACATACATACATACATACATACATACATACATACATACATACATACATACATACATACATACATACATACATACATACATACATACATACATACATACATACATACATACATACATACATACATACATACATACATACATACATACATACATACATACATACATACATACATACATACATACATACATACATACATACATACATATGTACATGCATGCATACATACGAGAGAGGGAGAGTGGGGAGAGAGAGGCTTGGGGGGATGGGGAGGATGGGAGCAGAGGGAGGGAGAGAGGACGACAGAACACACAAGGGAGACAAGGAAGAGAGGAAGAAGGAGAAAAGGGAGAGGACAATGTCGGCGGACTGAGCCGGAGGCTCTAAAGTAAGATGGTGGCTATCGGGGTGGCTCAAGATGGGTCCCGGATCTCCATTGTCCTGCCGAATTCGTAGTGGGACGCCACTACAGCATGGTAACTGGTGCCATCTGCGTAAGGATTAAGGATTGAATTTGAACAACCGAGGCTAGAGTGGCAACAAGAATCTGCAGAGTTCATGTAGGCGTACCAACCCATGGCGGCTCAGCGGATTCAAGAAAGCATGTCAAGAGACTTGTGATGACATTCGGCGTATGCTCGCTCCAAAGGAATCCATTAATTTAGGCACAAGGGGGAGGGTTAGGGGGGTTGTAGGGCCTGAGTCAGAACCAAAACCTGCTGCCAAAGGCGTCTGCCAAAACCCCCTATAAACAATAAAAAGGGCGACTGGCTGCACTATTGAATTCCGGGATTCTTCCCTGCTATCCCTCACCTGCCCGGCTCATTTATGTTACCCCGCGCACACGTCTCAGCAACAGGAATGAGCAAACTTTGTTCAAACAACCTACCCTCAGTCCCCTTCAAAGGGAAGCCAACCTGGCTTAAGCCATGGTTTGAGGGGTTGAGTCGCCCCACCCCGATCACCGCGCCCTCCAACTGTGAGGTCGTCCAGCTCAGGCACACACGCCACGGTGTAGCCACGCCTCGCGGAGAGAGGGGGGGGGAGGGGGCGTTGCGGAGGGCCATGCTGCTGCTGCACAACTCTTCCCGGAAAAGCTTGGGATAACCCGAAGATAGGGCCTTCTCAAGAGCTAATTGTATAACGGGTAATGGCCTCCGTAGCCGCTGCCATCAACCTATTGCCGGCTGATGTCATTTCTGCTAGAGTAGTCAAGCAGTTTTTTCTCTTTTCTCTTGGCCGTGCATAGTGGTTCCCCTGCCTACAATATCAATTAGACTCACTGGGCTGTGCAACTTCCAACATGTCCAAATCACAAAATGGCCCAGGGCATGGCGCTGTAGACTTCTTGTAGATGCTCAACTTGAGGGTCTTGCAATGCGCAACACGGTTCTTGCTGGTTCCGTGGTTTCCCGTGAAAACAAAGGACTTGCCTTTTTGATTGATGATGAAGACCACCCCACCACCAGGAAACTCGACTCTTGGTTGGGCCCGTGTTTGACCAGCGATGACATGAATCTTTCAAGCTCCACAGTGTCAAAGTGTGCGAAATGACCCGCCACTCGGAGTCTATAAAGGTGTTTAAACGTTTGTTTCCATTTGCATCGTTCATGGGCACTTCCAAGAAATGCACTACTCTCCCAAACAAACATGAATGAACGCCCCAAAGGAAAGCATGCGCAACATGAGGCAAAATTGCGCACGTTGCAGGAGGCATCCCCAGTGCATGTCCAACCACATCCAGCCAAACCGATGCTTCTCGGGCTCAGCTCAAACCAAAGTCCTCGGACAGCAGCTCAGACAATAAGTGTGCGTATTTTTTTATTTGAAGGATTCTGTTTCAGGTTGAATTGAAAGCATCACAAAAGCAACACCTGGGCTCCCATTTTGACCTAGAATACATGTATGTATATATAATCTGCACGTGTTCCAGTTCTCCAACAAAAGAAACATGGATCTGGAGGGATGTGGTGAGGCAACCGTGCCTGAGTCAACCAAGGCTTCACCATGGAAAGGGCGTGTTAAAATCGCCTAAGCAACACCCAAAGTGACAATCCGGAACCAGCACAGCGTCACAAGCCTCGACCAATGAAGATTGCCCCTCGACGTATAGTATTGCATGCCAACAATATCAAGGAGTATCCTAAGTCGAATTAAATATATTTTTCTATACAATGGCAGTATATCATGTTGATCTTGTCGGCAAACCATTTCACTACTTGTCTTGGCCCAAAAAAAACATTGGCACTTGCCTGGACTTGTTGTGGTCCCTGTGGTCCTTTCGTTACTATCCTTCACAAACCAACCTTACGTCGCCTTACGTGAAGGTCTGGCCCCTATAACTCCGAAAAGGGCCAGCACTACGACTTGTCACCGAACCTCGCCCAAACAAGATCCCCTCTGAGTCGCTAGGGTGGCTGGAATTGTGGCGGCCACCGGGCCCCTGGGTTGAACATGATCTTCAGCAATTCACGGTGCGTTTGGTCGCAGAAATGCAATGGGGCAATCAATGCCAATCAGCATGCATCCTGCAACCTTCAGAGGCTTCTTTTCCCGGCTTTGCAACCTTCATATTCAATATTCGCTGGGGGTACCCCACCCGACGCCCTGGCCTCAGCAGAAAATGCGACAACTCCACCATGCGCAGGCGGGGCTCCACCACTACCAGGCCCTTCTCCACATCCACCTGTCGAGTTTCTGGGTTGCCCAGCTGTCATTTGGACTTTCAAACTTCAGCACACCCGGTGAAAGTAGATGGCAGTGTAACAGAGATGGTGGCATCTACTACCCAACTGCATGCCAACTGGCCCCAAGACCAGTCTAAAGGCTGCCTCAACGATGTGCTTGAGCGAGCCAGTGTCGATCTTCTGCTTCCGCGGAGCTGAGCGGTCGGAAATTCGAGACAAGCTAGGCGTTGATAGGGTCTGGGCTGGGAAAAGTATGGGTGTTTGTGTGTGTACGATTTTGTTTAGGGTGTGTGCGTGCGTGTTCTGAGGGTGTGTGCATCTTTGAGGTACGCCTTTGTTGCATTGGATTAACGGGAAATTTAAAGGAGCACACCCATTTGTTGAGCCCCCTGTTGCGCCACAGACCTATATCAAATGACTGCGCAGATTTACATTCAGGGTCCTAGGACACCACTTTAAACAAGGCCAAAATCATGATATGTCGCAGGCCGCGATTCAGGTCTCTTTATCGCTCCAGCCTTTGTCAAGATCATGGTGAACCCATTTCCACGCTGACCAAGGGCTAATTAACTGTTGAGAATGCGTGAACTAGATGGTGCAACACATGCCATGAGTTCGTGGAGTCACCTTGAAGGGTGGAAAATGGAAAGTTTGGCAAAGTGCCCCTTGGCAAAGAACCCCTAAAGACACAGCCGGCGCTGCGCCGGCTCTGTTTCGGGGGTCCCCCTTGTCGGCCACCCTTCAGCAACAGCCGACGCAGCGCCGACGTTTCTTCGGCGGTCCGCTGGTGGAAGACCCCTCGGAAAGGAAATGAGAAGCTTGGATACTGAGTCGTGGCTCCCGCACTTAAAGTGGTAAAATGTGGTAAACCTGTGTCAGGAATGCTCAAGCCAAACAAAGTCTTCAGCAATAGGGTCACATCCATCCAGCTGCAGCCTTGATTGGTTTTGATTGTCAATGGCCCCAGGTCTTATCCTACAGTCCTGACATAGAACCCGAGAAAAAAATGGTGGCCCCAGAAGCAGGTACCTCTGAACATGATTGCAAATTCCATGTCGACCGGAGATCATGGGCAAATGGTACCCGCTTTCCAATAGAAGTGGACAGGATGCTTCTTGAAAGACCAACCTCCACTTCCATTGTGGAAGGAAAGGACAACCGTCCCCTAACAGCATCGGGCAGCTACTGTCAGTACTATTTTGCGTATCAGACCCTCCCATGGGACATTAAAGGGGAAGCACCTCCAACAAAAGAAGAAAGCCACCGCTGGGTGTCTGAAGCACAGTATCCTATTCCGTGCTGCTTCTCCTCTAAATACAGCCTTTCAGGCTCCGATGTTCTTCATGTTCTCATGGTCAAATTCCCTACCGCTACGGGAAGACGCCATCTTGGAGAGCTGATCATCGACGCCTGAAGGCGAAGAACATAGTGCACAGGTCAAATGGCAACACTTCCAAGTGGGTAAAAGCACCATCACTATGGATAGTTGTAGTAACACAGGAGAGAAGTCACTCATACGAATATGAATCAAATGTCCGCAAATGGAAGTTGGAAAGGTTTGGGGCCATGTGCAGTACCATTGCGCGGAAGTTGTTGTGCCCAAATCTGCAGGTTGTTTCAGCTCCATCTGCGGAAAACGGTGGATTCCTCTGAAATGGGGATCAACTTACCAGCACTAAGGGCAGGACTGGTGCCAAGCAACTGGGCAGCAGACAGTTAACGTAATACAAACTCACAAACAAACAAACAAACAAAAAACATAAAGGCAACGTTCAAGCCGCACATTGCGGATCCTTTGCATTGACCCGGCAAAAAAAAGGCAATTTGCCCAAGGCGCCAACGATCCGCGAGCTGATCCGTTCCCGGTCTGGCCGTGAAGTGAACAGCAGGCCGTCGTTGCTTTGCCGCCTCAGCGAAGGGAACGGTGCCGTGACTCACCTTCCAAGGGTTGGGATTTCTTCCAAATAGGTCGTGACTCAACTCATCACAGCAAGCTTTTGCTTTTAGGTCCCCTTCAAAGTGCCTTTCTGATTCGTATGGGCCACAAGCCAGCTGCCAGTCAAAGCCTGGTCTTCCCAAGGAACTAAATCCATGTGCTTCAGGGCATTTGAAACCAAACCTGTGCCAAGTCCAAACATGGAAAGAGAGAGGGAGCAAGCGAGGACAGCTGTTCGAGTTGGTTACGTGCTTTGGCAGGCTGTGAGGCTCACTTTTTACGCTGCCCGCGGTTTGCTCAACTGCGTCATTTTCCTCGTGCGTCGGAGATTCCAGCCTACAACGAGCAACAGTTTGGCCAGGCGCAGTTTTCAGGCATGTGTCTATTAGTCGCAAGCTGCGAACATCCGCCATTGTGGCCAAGCGATCCGGAATTCGAGAAAGTGGCTTGGATCCAACATGAATCTGGGCGCTGTAATTTAACAAATCGCACTGGCTTGTGGGTGAGACAGGGTGTCCTTCAGGCAACTAGATTGTCATTCACAAACTTGAAATTGGAAATCCTCAGGTCAAGGACCTTCATCATGGGTAACTTTGACCAGTGAACGGGCTAAACCAGATCCGGTCCCATTTTGATGCATAACGGCACGTCCCCGGGATTGTTTCATGTTAGGTTTCTTTCGGAGGCAAACAGAAATAAAGGGCCTATGGTAACCATGTCCTTTGGGGATTCCTACACTTCGGTATGCGTCAAAATAAGCATGAGACCTCCCCCCCAAAAAAAAAACATGGTGGGTTTCCGTTTTGTGTCGCTTTTGACCAAGCCAACATTCTGAGGTTACCTTTTCGGGGTGATTAGAGGAACACCAAATGGATTCCGCCTTGGGGGGTTCGCCTTTGCCACAAACCCGCATTTGGAGCGCCTCACGTCTGCGGCCACCTTCTCCACTCGCTGCGAGTGGGCTTCCTTTGCATCGCCTGGGATCCACGGTGCCACTGCAGGACTGCGGCCCAACTCAGCAAACATGACTTAACTATGTGGCTTTTAAAATGATTCCCTTGACTTTCTGGCTAGTGAGAATCACGCATGCTCAACAAAAAAATGAAGGATAGAAAAAACACTGGAATACTCAGTTGACCCTTGCAACTGACCCTTTCATTTGACTCTTTTGGGGTCCCGAATTCCTTTCAAAGAGGCACAACATGTCACCCGTGTCTGGTCCAAAAAAGCCTAAGGGCCCATGCTTGATTGCGTGACGGAAGGTGGGGCATCTAACCTTGGAACACATTCTCCGAATACAGGATCTGGGTGACTGAAACTGATTCGGCGTCAAATCTTGCCAAGCTCTTCCCGAATGAAAACAGGCATACTGCTACTCGTCCGTCGTCCCGGAAAAACAAAAAAAACGTGCTGTGACAACAAAAACAACGCCCCACTTGGCAAGTATATAGGTTATTGCGCCGTGTCAAGGAGATGAGCCCAGCAAATAATCCCGTAGGAGTTATGCATAATTAATCAGAGAGTACCCAAGCCTTGACTTCTTTGGGAACACCCGGAACACCCCCTAAAAAACTTGAATAATGGGTACTGAAGCCAGTAAAAAAGTTGAGAACCACACATGTCCAGGCAAGCAGGCATTCTTGTTCCTGGAACTGAACCACAGACCTTTTGGCAGGCCCCATCTCGAGCGTCTCTAGAATACTCCCGCGTCAAATCGGCGATTCAAGTCCAAGCCTCGCGCTATACCGCCCGGCAAACAAACACACAAAACTGCTTCCGCCCACAAGGCGAATATCTGGACCTCCCTGAACCGGGGGGGGACAACAAATTCAGGCGCTGGCCAAAAAGCACGCGTGTCTCGTCGCTGGCGCAACAAAAATGCTTCTAGGGCGAACAAAAACGCCGGCGGTCATATTTGTTTGTGCCACGGTCGGGAAATTTCGCCCGTTGGTCGGAAGTTTTCGCTTGTTGGTCGGGAAGTTTCGCCTGCAGCTCCGGGGAGATTGCGCTTAACACCCACATTGAGGAAAAATAAGGCTGCAGGCAAAAATTGCGCGCTGTTGCCCCAAATGCCAATTCGTAGCGAAAATGCGAACATTTTGCGCACGCAGGAAGATCCAGGTCTGGACGGGCTCCACTTGTGGTTGCGAGCTTGGGATTGCCTAGAATGCAAGCTGTTGGTTTTGGCAACCCTGCTTACCGTTGTGCACCAGCCAAGAAACAATTCCTTGGAGATACCTAAAGATTGACAAACTACCTGATTATAGTGGGGTAATCGATTGTATTCTGTTTGATCCAGCTATTTGTACATTAGGTTAGTATACCGAAACTGAGTCCAGACTTAGATCCTCAAACATTCACCCTTTGCTAATTTAAAAGCAAAACAGATACACAACAAAGAAAACAACCAGCTACGTCTGACAATGTGCACAGGTTCAAAACGATACAACACATCCTGTTGGTTTCCTGCAAAAGGTCTTTTGCAGGTTGAAGGGGAATTCGAGGAAAACTAAAAAGCCTAAAAGTGAACAGCAAGTAAGCTAAGTCTAGCTATACACCGGGATAATTTGGGTCTGGTTGATGCGGCGCATGCCCTAAACATTCCAGGGGAACAAGGGGAACGTTAAAAATTGCCGGAATTGGTCATTGTTTGGTGGCGTGGATGGTTCACTTGCAATATTTAGGGCATCCACCCTGGCAATGGGTCCGCCAAGCGACTGGCGAGTTTCAGGTCTGGAGAGCGCCGTGTGCCGCGCGTCCACTCCACGAAGAATATCACGATGGAGATGGGCAGGAAAAATACGGCCTGCAGCTTGAGCTCGGATTATAAATTAATAACACAGGGATGCTTTCATTATACACCTGAGCATTGCCTTATAAATGGTGGTTTCCCTTTATTTGGGTGGACAAATCCATGTTTCAAATGGGCAAAATGTATCTGTTAAGCAGCCCTGTTTTCAGATAGGGGTATGATCATCTAAATGAGATCAACCTCTCTTGAAGCCTGAGTGAGGGTCGGGTTGTTGATGATTTGTCTATGCTGCTTAAGCATCGGTCTTCTCCGCAGTTTTGATGATTCGAAGGATTGGGCAAACTCGACAAGCAATATGAACAGGGTATCTACCCCAGGTTCCCTCAAGGCAGTGGTTTGGGGGCATGGAGATCCTCTTACCCAGTTGCCCAGTCATAATGGAGTGAACAAGAACACTCTTTCTGGGTGGGGAGCCCACAAAACAACAATGAAGAATACGGCCTGTCAGAGGCAGGTGAGTCTCTTCAGGGAACTCCAACACACGCACACAAAGACACAAACACACACACACAAAGACACACAAAGCACAAAGACACAAAAAGACACACAAAGACACACTCCCCACCCACGCACGCACGCACGCACGCACGCACGCACGCACGCACGCACGCACGCACGCAGGCACGCACACATGCACACAGGCACACAGGCACACACGCACACAGGCACGCACAGACACACAAAGCAAAGAACAAAACAACGACACAAACAAGACAAACACGCTGTGCAGTGTACACTGTTAACGGAGTTCCTGGTTGTTAGGCCAAGGGCTGCATGTCTTCCAATCAAGATACGCTTAGCTGCTGTGCTTTCGGTTTTACCTGGAGCGACCCCATCCTGTTTCTCTGAAATCCTTCGGGTGGCGCCTGGACAATGACGTAGACCTGGTCATGAAACAGCAGTCTCCCCAAATCCTCAGTGCCGATGGCCAAAGGAACCTTCCTGCAACGACCTTTCTTACAGGATGAATAGGCTCGATTGATTGGACGGCGCTGATAAAAGGTGCAGAACAGCACTTCCAATCTATCACTGCCGAACCACCAAAAAAGTCGACACACATGCAAAGGCTCTGGTTAGGCGGGCCTTTGAGCTTGAAGTTTTGAGGCTCGCAAATCTATGAAGCGCGTGATGGATGGCTCGACACAGGTGTCAACTCCGGAGGCTGAAGAGGGCAACCTGCTTGAGTTTGAAGGGCCAATCCTTGGGACGTGTCAGTCCACAGCTCAAAAACATAGATTGCGTAGCTTTGTCGCGCGGCTCTCCAGGTTGGCATTCCTTCGCAGCGTTATGGTTGGAGTTGCCGCAGCTGTTACTCACGACGGGGCTGAGTATGCACTTGATCAAGTATGTGACAGTGTGTGTGTGTGTGTGTGTGTGTGTGTGTGTGTGTGTGTGTGTGTGTGTGTGTGTGTGTGTGTGTGTGTGTGTGTGTGTGTGTGTGTGTGTGTGTGTGTGTGTGTGTGTGTGTGTGTGTGTGTGTGTGTGTGTGTGTGTGTGTGTGTGTGTGTGTGTGTGTGTGTGTGTGTGTGTGTGTGTGTGTGTGTGTGTGTGTTTGTGTGTGTGTGTGTGTCGTGAGTTGGATGCTTGGAAGCGAACCGGTGCTGAGATCTGGCCAAGCCGCTGAAAGCAAAAAGCCAAGGCCCATCGCTGCAAGGGCACCCGACAAGGGCGGTCCTGCGGACACATGGGAGTCTGGCAAACCTCATCCCGTTGGAACAACAACTGCTGCGAATGAGAACAAGTTGACACATGATGACAGGATTCAAGACTTAGCCAGGCAAACCACCAAGCAAAAGCAACAAACAACGATATGCTGCAATGCAGTCTGCAATATCCCGAAGCAGTTCATTTTGATACAAAAAACAAGCTCCACGTCAACATGTCGATGGCTTTCTAACCGCCAGGAGGGGTCCAACTAATTTGCAGCATCAAGCCAATCCCTCCATCGCCTTACCCTACTTGCCCAGTGGCCTTGCGATTCAATCACATTTGTTGAGCTCAAAGGGTAACGTGCAACATCTTCGCTACTGGCTTGCAGCTTCTTGCCCAACGCTGGGTCCACTGCCCTTTAGCTAGCGCACACCCTCTAGAGCTGTTGGCTCTGCAAGCGACTTGAAACACAGCCCGTCACAGCAAGTTAGACCTTGAAAAGCCGTGTGATTTCATCAAAGAGGGTGGAACAGCGCAAGGTCAGTGCAGCAACTCTTGACGTATTCGCGCAAAGGGGCAGGGAACGGGAAATGCACAGGAAAAGCATGCGGCGCAACGTCTCTGTGCCGGCCTGCGCTCAGCTCAAATATGCATTGAAACAGCTGTGCAATCCTTGCCATTCCTGGGAGAACACAAAATGTAAAGGATACCAAGGCTCAAACACAACGGAGGAGCAAATGCCTTGGGCTGTTGACGAAGTGAGCCATGCTCAAAATGACAATCGAACATGTCGGGTGTTTGATTAGGAGCGTTCCGCCCCAACAGCAATTCAGAGAACCCTCAAATGAGAATGCAATGAATCTGAAGGACTCCGTCCAAAGATCTATTAAGAGCCTTCAAAGCACCCGAAGGGGGCCCAAGGCCCCAGTCGAGCCCGCGCCCAGCCTCGAGCCGGGTGCAAACAGGACTTCTCGCTCGAGGATCAAAGCAGCGGGCTGGCATCCAGGTAGCTCTCCCCTTTCCGGATCCGCTTCCCTGCGTCAACTTTGGTATGTGTCACAAAGGGAAGGACAAAAACCGTCGCTGTTCTTCTGGTGTCCGTTGAAACCAATATAGGGGTACCCCTCAAAAACAGACCCGCGTGAGCCTTAGGATTCTACATGATGGCTTGCCCAGATTGTTAGGAAGGACGGGATTAGGCAACAGCTTCCTTCCAAGTTTCTGCCACGACAGTGTGGGTTGAAATAGGGCACTCATTTGCTTCTGGTTGCCTTTCCATACTATGCAACACAGAGGCCTTGCCTCTGCACTCGCAGTAACTTCAGCAACCCAAACTGATAGCAGACTGGGGCACATGTTTGTTGCATTGCAGCCGAGGTCTGTTGTTCCCCTGGTGCAAACATCCCACTTCCATAGTACGCCACCACATGGACACACGGGATCCCTCGTGAAAGAAAGGAGCAATGCGTTTGTACTGTGTGGTTGTACACTCATGGAGTCTGATATGAGAAATTAACGTCTTTGCGAAATCTATATTGTCATTTCAAGCCATTCAGACTTAATTATGCACATCACGAATCATACTGTGCAAATTGGGCTCTAGTGTCAGGGGCGAGGTTCTGGAGCAAAACTGCCGATTGCCTCGTGCCCCAAAATTATGGTCCTGGGTGGCAATTAACAATAACTTCTCTCTCACACAAGCCCAATCCTGGGCCAGGTTGCAAACACGGCCATTGTGGGCTTGCTTTGCTTTAGGGGAACCTCTTCTCTACCCCATGGAAAAAGGGCACTGCCGGTTTCTCCTTGGAAAGCTCCCCTCACTACCCATTTCTCAGTCCATTGGCCTTCCAACAGGCGAAAGCGGCCCTGAACTCAGTTTTGCTCAGCTCTAAGTCAGTTTGCATGGTGCGTGGCGGCAAATGGCCTTGCCCGGCTACTCAAAATGCCATGGCCGGCTGAAGAGAACATATGGGTCCGCCAACATATCCACTTTTACATTGCCCAATCGGCCTAATCATCACCTGCCATGGGCCAAAGAAACTAGGGTGTCCCCGAAACCAAGCCACCGCAGTCTACTCTGGTCAAAGCTACATGCCCAATATCAGGTCAATTTCACAGAACACTATGAAACGATCCGTTCGAAAAAGGTCCCCGAGTTTGACGCATAGATATGGTTTCCGCGACCCCCAAATCAGTTCCCGCGGGAAACATGGGGGGTATACCGGTAAAGGGTGTACACTGTTTCGGTGATTGGGACGTGGAGTCATCTTGGATACTTCCCCTCTGAGCTCGCCCCTGGCACGACAAGCCTTTTTCCCCTCACACCACTGCCGTGCAGCGACCCGTAGCGACCCTATCAGAAGCGCCTAGTCTGATTGCGAATGCAAACAAGGAATGAAGCTAAGGACCCAAACACTTGAGCAAGTAAAATCTTTATTGGTTTCCCTTGAAAGCAGCCCCAACAAAAGTACGCTCTGACGCAAACCAATGTATGTCACTTGAGCCTTCCTGTGATTCAGAAACAGCACATGTTTAATGAGCAAGCTCACGTGTATCTCGCGCACTCGCACGCGCGACTGCCCTGTGAGCGGCCAATTAAAACTTCGAGACCCATCAGAATGCCTCTGTGCATTCAAGATCGGACATCTTGGACGACAGCTTGGCGCTAACCAAAGAATAAGCTTTGATACCACTACCATCGATACCGACAAGGAAACAAGGCATGGACATTTTGACGTGGCCCGCATTCTTGAACGCGGTGCGGATTGTTTATATTGTCCCCTCCCCAACTGGAAACAACGTGAAACCCCTCTCAACACATGTGTTTCTTTGCACTCACAACGGAAACATGTATGGGGAAGGGTCTATTGGGGTGCCTTGCCCTCCTTACACTGCTTGTGGGTGATGTTCACATGTAGCGTTTCGGGAATCAATCGCGTGCGAACATGCCAAGCCGCAAAAATACATACCCATCCCCTTTTGGGTTCCTTTCGTGATAACATCAACATATATTTACAGAAACCACTCCAAGCTGTTCTTGGACAAGCTTGCCCCAAATCCACTCATGCGAATCCGGTGTTCGCAGAGCAGTCGTCCAAGGTCTACCCACAAAGAAATCCTGCACTTCCGGACTTCTGGGCCAAACAAAGCATTTGTGTATTCCACTTCATTGAGCCAACAAACGTATCAACTCGAGAAATTCGGGAAGTGAGATTCCTCAAGAGCTCAGAGCCTCACCATACCTGCGCAAACTCTCACGGCAAACTGGCCCAGGGAAACAAGCGCTACCCAATTTTGCCCAGGAACACTGAGCAGCAGTGTACAGGTGCAAAACTTACACCATGCAAATGCTGCACTGTTGGCGGGTTCAAGTGAAAATGAGGGAAAACCCGACAGGTAAAAAGAGGAAATGGTAAGTTCAGCGTCACTGAAACTTGATGGCACCAGAGGCTGTGCTGAGCAAAAGTCACTCTCCGTTGATTGGATATGAGCCAAATTGCATTCACAAACCTGAAATGAGGTCCAAGCGCGGGTGATCGCAGTAGACGCTGACTGATTCTAGACCCTCACAAAGTCAAAGAGTCGTGTCACATGATGTCCTTAAACGTGTCCACATACTAAATCACATCCCCAAACAAATTGGCCTTCGGGATATAAAAGCAAAAGCCATGCAAAAGCTTCTGGACAAAGTGTTCCATGAAAGAACCCTCCCGAAGCTCATTTCTGGCACGCCGGACCGAACAAAAGCAGCACAGGTGGGAGTGTTCCGACTTTAGAGACTGGAAGCAGCGTTTAACGTTCCCTCTACCAACTAGTACATCAACCCAATACCTTTCCACGTCTATGTATATGTGTCTCATAATAAGAAATATAGGTATACATATGGTGGCGAGGGGTGGTACGCTGTACTCAGTCGATTACTCCTCCATGGTGCTTAGTGACTGGGAAAGCAACGGCAGGAAACCGCACTGGACAGCTAACTGGGGAAAGTCAGGGGTGCCACTCAACTCATAGCTCATGTAGCTCAGCACCTACAAGGAATTGGAAGCACTGGGTACAAACTTCCAACCTCAAAGATCTGCCTGCGGCAAGGCAAGGAGCAGTTCGACGATTCCGTGCCCCTGGCAATTGCGAGCTTCATCAAACCGATGGTGGGTAAGGTTCGTTTGAGGTTTGTCCCCGACATGATCCGCTAAACACTAATAAAAGCACTCAAAACCAATGGGGAGCAATGAAAGGGAACGTAAGGAATCATGCTAGTAAGGGTGCTTGGAAATTCTGGGTATTTGACAATTGCAGCACTCAAAGGTGCATCTCAAACGGGCAACCGCCAATGGTGATGCCAGCGCCCGCGCCAATGGGCCATGTAAACTTTGCTCGAGGGTCCCAATTCCCTGCACCTTGGCAGCCGGGATCGGGGAGCAATTGGGGTGAAGCATTGCAAGCAGTCCGGGCTTGATGGGACCAACTACTTAAATAAAGTAAACACTGCTATAGTCCGGACTGAATTCAATCTCATGGTGCCCCACAAACCCGTTCCAACTCTTGAGGCCCGAATAGTACTTTCCTTCGGCGCATCGTTCTGTTGCTAGATTTGGTGGAGGTTGATGCGAGGGCTGGGCATTGGCTGCCGCAGGGCTTGGTTTTGGATGCGGCTTGGCAGGGCCGCAGCTCAGTCTAACCACGAAATAAACCGAGTGCGACTAGCATTTCCAGCAACCACGCAAACCTGCGCCATTCGACTGGCGTTTAATGGGGGCGGGGCAGCAGCTCAAGCTGCACAATGTGATGCTATCCGTGTCTCTGCAAGCACTGTTTCCTTGCGTGCCTTGCCTTCCTAGCGTTTCATCCGCTCCTTACAAGCTGCTGCTGCTGCTGCTGCTGCTGCTGCTGCTGCTGCTGCTGCTGCTGCTGCTGCTGCTGCTGCTGCTGCTGCTGCTGCTGCTGCTGTTTCTGCAAGAGCAACCGCCGCTACCACTGGTATACACAGAGGCGGAAGCAGGCTGAGGTCATCCTGCTTCAAGCTCTACAAGCAAATGGATGCTCACAAGCGGAACGCCTCTACCATGTTGCCTTTGGGTTTCTGCTCAAATCGCCACCAACAACAGGAATGGCCTGGGATCAGACGCTGCAGCCTGACCCAAATCTGGCCAAACGTGCAATTCAGGCAGCGGCTTCTCTAACTGTGGCACCCTTGCGGCACGGGCAGGATTAACACAAGGTTCTGGAAGGCGTTTGCACGTCTGCTCGTAAACGAAACCTCAACTTCCCAACACTGACATGGAACCATCAAACAAAAAATGTCTTTCAGGGGCCTCCGGCCCCATGTTAGTGGGTCGGACAGCCTCACCTTAACAACTAGTGGCGGCTTGGGCTGTATGTGGAAAGCTCCTGGTGGATTGTTGGGCGGTTCGCCTCAAAAAGTGAAGGTTTGCCTCTCAATGGGGCACACCCCATTGAAGCATCAGGGGGCTACATCCTGGGTCAACATTACCCAACAGCATGGGATAGGCGACCGACCCCCAGCCTTAGGCGTGTTTCGCGTCATGCCATGAACGGGCCACCTGTCGCGAACTCGCAATGCGGCCAAAGGACATCTGAATGCTTGCTGGAGGTTTACCAAACCACCAAGACGAGTGAGTTCAAGTAGGTGCACAGGAGATCTTACAATGTCCCATATATGTTGCTGGCGAGAAGGCGCTACCTGACATGCTGCCTATAGCTTTGTGTTCGCCCTGCTGGAAACTAATTCAATTTGGGGCAACAAGCTGCAACAAATTCCAGGAGATGCTTAGGGCTGGGACGGTTTGACACCATGTGCAGGCTGGGACGGGCGAATAAATATTCTCCCAACTCTATCAAGGATCTCCGCCTCTCTCCCTGTATGTATGACGGTTTCCACTACCTGCCGAACCACTAGCTCAACGGACATTTTCCTTTGAGGGTATTGGTTCACGGGTAATGGAAACCATTTTTGACAAGGAAACGCAGCTCAAGGAAACCATAGGAGATGTTTTTTCTCCGGGTCATTCCATTTCTCCTTCCCTGCTTATCACACCAGCAAGATGATGAAACTGCGTGTAAGAAAAAAGG